TGCAGACTTGGAAGTAATTTCTATCTGGATTCTGTCTATACCGGCAGGTCAAAGCATCATCATTGTTGCTGAGCAGCTATTGCAAAGAAAAATGCACATAATATATATATATATATATGATATATGATATATGATATATGATATATGTGTTTGTGACTGTGAATATAGATAGGTCTTGGAGTCATCTCAATGTTTGGTTGGTTTATCTTGGTTTGACTTAGACTTGAATCCATTTGGGTGGTTCTATCCCACTGTTTTTTTACAGTAAATTCCCTTAAATTTGGTGCTTCTATCATGTTCAGAAGCAAACTTTTTGTAGCCTCAGAGTTTAAGTTCAAACAACTTCAAGGCTTACAGTTTCATTGATCACTGGAATTTCAATACAAAAAAAAACAACCATGGGTTTTCCGTGGGATTTCCCATGGCACCGGTGGACTTAAAACGTCAAGCTGCGTGGCGAGGACTTGGCAGACCTCGCTGGTGATTGATGTTGGTTCAGAACGGTGGATGAGTCTAAGGGGGATTATAACATGTTATAAACACTTATACTATCTTGCTATATCAATATCCAATATACTGGTGATACATATACTCTCTTACTATCCACTATACACGCTTTATCACCATTGGATACTATCCAATATACTGGTGATACATGGTGATTACCGGATGGTAAGAGGTAATCGGGAAATCCCCCGTTCAGATGAAACGCCCCGCAGAAACCATGCTGGATGGAGATGGAACCAACCACACCTGGATACAAAAAAGAAAAAAGGGAACAAAATTGAACAAACAATAGAGATACCCTCTGGTAATTTAACAGCAGCTATTGAAATTGACCATTTATAGTGGATTTTCCCATTAAACATGGTGATTTTCCATAGTTATGTGACAGTTTACCAGAGGGTAATGAACACTTTCAGCTAGTAGCGGCTTCTGGACACAATTCCAGGTAGCCGGGCTCAGGCAAATTGGTGTCAATTCGTGCCTGGATATGGTCATATTGACCAGCACGCTGCCTGTCCAAATGTGTGCTCGGTTTCGGCAACAGAATCGGTTGATGTTGGTTTATCATGGTTCATCTCCATCGAAAAATCTGGGTGGTGGTTGAGCTATCTCATTTCAAGCTATTAACAACATTGAAAAGTGTATTTATTGTCTTGGAAATCATCGTCATAAAAAATGGAGCAAAATGCAAACCACATGCAAAACAAAACCATGCGCCTGTCATGTTTCTGACTGATTTCATGTTCATGTCTATTCAAAAGCTGATGCAACATGTCCAACATATAACTATTGCTACGCCTTGGATATTTGGATTGCGATTGAGTCGACCGTCCCTTCATGAAACACGCCGCATGTCACCAGGGCATACCAGGGCTCTAAGTTTCAAACTCTTGGCCGAATGGCGCGCGGAAACTGAACTTCGGCCATCCAATCTTCATCACAACTCAAAGCAGTTTTAAGGCTATGTTCAGGCTGCAGCATATGCAACCTATGGGATCTGGAGAAACCAACAATTGAAACATCCAAAAAATAGGCGAAAAGTGCAAACCGCTTGTGGCGTTCTAGGTATGGTCCTCGTTTGCAATTGAAGATCGCGCATTTACATTACAGCTAGTCTTAGATAAGGTGCAAACAAATACCATATATGAACATGAACACATGTATATATATATATAATGAATAAATAAATATACATATAAATGCATGATACATAGAAAGAAAAAACGAGAAAACACAAAAAAAAACATTTCACATCTAGCTAGTACAAATACTGTGGATGGTTGCGAAATCCTGCACCAGTTGAAAACGATGGTTTTATCACGTCTTATCCCATTCTTTAAAGGTTGTAGCTAGTTGCGCCAGTATGGCGGCCAACTTCAACCCACCATAGGTGTCAAAATATGCTGGGCACCTAGGCTTCGGACTTCTGTGAGACGCCTAGGCACGATCGGCTGGATCGGTTGAAAATAAAAACCTGCGCAATCCCAAATCGACGGGATAATGGGTATATATATATATATATATATCCATCTATCTATCTATCTATCTATCTAACTATCTATCTATCTATCTATCTATCTATAAGAAATATATATATATATGTATATATATATATATTTCATATCTATATATATTGTATGCAAAACTGTATAAACCACCGTTTTTCTCATGGGATATGATTCACAAAAAAAAACAGGAATGGGATGGTTCATAAACACATTTTAACGTACGATAAAGCTAACCCGCGGCTCATCAACCAATACAAAACAAATCATTGGGTATCATGGTGTCATCTTCACAAAAAAGGCTTCCAGTTTGGTGGTATCAACATGGAGGGAATTGTAAAACCCACCCAGCTGCCAGAAACGAGTGAACAACATGATTAGAGGCAAAAGGGCCTTAAACCACATGCAACCACCACATGCGCTTGTCCTCACTTTGATCTAGTATGATCTCACAATAAGCCATGAAACTACTTGACACTCAAGTCACTCAAAAGATTGGTAAAGCAATGCAAACATCTACAACCCTCCCTCAAACATGATAAAATACATTTTGCAACGTGGTGTCTAAACACCATTATCTATAGATCTACCATAAAATTCCCTAGCTATAGGCTATGCTAGTTATAAACCAACCTTTTTCAAGGTGGTGCCCCCCAGTTCCTATGTTTGCTTTACAAACTATAGTAACTAGTTCGATATACCGACAATAAACCACAGCCACTGCTCGCCCGCGCCGGATATGCGACTCTGGAAGCACCAGCGGCAGCGTCCCTGGCAACATGTCATGATCTGGAAGGTGCTGCCACCTGTTATGTTTCTTGGTTTATAAATTATAAGCCCCATAACTATGGAAAATTATATATATATACATGTATCCTGGACATATATATATACATATAAATCATGTACTATTCCAATTAGTCCCACTTTGAAACAAACCACACACACATGTATATATATATATGTATATCATATGCCATGCTTCCAATATTAGTTCTACATACATGATCTACCATAATTCCTAGTTGAATCACCTACTTGTAAACCAAGTTAGCTGAACAGGGGGCACACCTTGTATATACATGTTATACTAGTACCGGACCAGTTAGAGGTATTGAAAACCATGCCCAACTACTATTCGAAAATCAATCATGCTGAACCATCCCCAAGATTACTATGACTATAAATCATATCCTGATAAAAAACCCAAAAATTAACCATTCCCCCCAAAATCATTTACGACATGACCTAAAGTAGAAATGATCTGATCCACATCGGCCAGCTCGCTACTGGTTTCTCCGAACACCACTCAGCGCCTCCGTTGAAACGCGCCACCCGATGAATTTGCCGATGTAAGATGTTAACATGGCGAACTTTGTCTAAGAAATTAACCTTCCAAAAAAAAACAACTATATGCTTAAGATAAAACATGTGCACAATACAAAAATAGTAATTATACACATTCATATATTATTTTAAATATATTATATATATAGCTACAAAGATGGATGGATCGATGGATGGTTGGATGGATGGATGGTTGGATGGTTGGATGGATGGGACAAAACAAGATATGCTAAGATAAAAAACATATGATTTATGATAGAAATCTTCATCACCATCAGGTTTCCATAGTTATATTATATGCCTGTAAACCCTCATCTCTACATGACGTGTTCTAAATACGAAGTTCACTTGTTTTTTTGAAATGCACTTACACTACACGCATGTCTGCCAAGTCAAGATTTGCCCAATCAAAGGTGCAAGAACAACACGTGCCATCAAGGAACCCACCATTCTCAGTGAATCCAAAGGAATCTGACGCTTACATCGCAAAAGGCGGCTAAAAAGGAACCTATTTTTCCTCTCCATGACAGTCTCCGTAGACCCAGCATCTCTCACATATTTTTTCATACACCTAGTCTCTTTTTCATGATCTCTGTACGTGTGCACGGGTCAAGTAATCGTAAATCAGCTGTGGAAAAGCCATGGTGAAACCCCAGGAAACCGTCTACAAAAGGTGGGCTTTCCATAGGGTGAATCGTCATGGTTAAATGCCCCAAGTTCGAAGGACACCTGGTTGCCACTCACACGACCTACGCGGCTCACTGTATGTGCTGGTCAAAAATCCCCTGCCGGTGGATAAAGAAAAAAATCGTTAGAATATGTGTATCTATATATATACAGTAATATATATATATATACAGTAAATAAATATATATTATATATATATTATAGTTACAGTATATGACGTCACCCTTCTTGAGGGTTCTATACTGTATCCATTTTCGTGCACATGACACATCCACATCGACCTTCAAATGGCCCAGCGAAAAAGCGTCCACTTTGTGGGTCGCACGGTGACAGAAGCTCCTGTGCAAAGGACGCAGGCCGACTAAATGTTGTTTGACGGGTCCTGGAAACTGAGTGGTGGCATGGCACCCACATCCCAAGGAGAAGGATGCAAGATTGCTTGCCCAGAACAAATAAGGATGTTGGTGCATGTTGTTGATACAGTTACGGCCCTTTACCAGTTTTATGTACTTATAACTTATATAACCTCATTTATAGAATGTATAATCCCATAGAAATGACCAGTTATAAGTAATAGCCATGGCCATAACTGTAGTGGAAATCATTCTGGATTGCAAATCATCCGCAAATTTGCGAAACAAAATGCTGGTTGTATCCTCAAAGCATCCAAGACATCCAAAATGGCTTGAGAGACCTCTCTGAGCTGCCGAGTCTTGCAATCTCTCTTGGGTTAGCCGCTAGATGGGTGAACCAGTTCTATACAAGCGGTCATTGGATTGATTCAAGAGAAAGCATGAGAAACAAGTGGTTTGAACAAGATAACAAGTGTGTTTGTGGCTACACACATCACACAAACATGTTTTGTAGAAACCACCTGCCAAAAGCATGCAACACTTTCCCTTGAATCAATATTTTGAAACCTGAGTTTTGTCTCAGGTAGGCTGCACGAATTCGTCACACTGGGTCGATATCAAATTCAAAGCATAGACGGTCGACTGCCACCTGGCTGAAGGGTAAAATGTTGAGACCGTGCAAACATCAACTTCTGGTAATTTACCATAGTTCTGCTACAAAGGGCCCACTTACTTTGATGATGTTTGATGATTTATGTGTCAAAAATAGTGATTTTCCACTGCGATGTCAAACCACCATGGGCAAAAACGGCCCCGAAAATCCAAAACGCAACAGCTGCGTTGCCTGTGCGTGTTCCTTCAGCTTCTTTCTGACCTTGGTCTGCGATGAGGGATCGCCGGGATGCGGCAAACTGTTTCCCAGGGCAAAAACAGAAGCAGATCACTGCTGTGACCTTTCCTGTTGATATCGAATCTATATAGAACTCGCAAACGAGGTTTTGGAAAACCTATTTAGCAGTGAAGGGAAGCTAGTTACGCTAGTTACCGCTAGTTGTAGTCGAACCTTTCATGTCACAGGCGAACTTCGTGGAGTTATTCACGGTCACGGACTACAGTATCTCACAGTCGAAGTCGTGGATGGCATATTTCACCTAGAACTTGCTATGCATGGTGCAAATTACCACAACTCTTTTTCCTAAAAACAGTGTCACTAAAAACCAACATGGAACCAATGGAACCAAACGAGAAAAGAAGAGGTCCCATTCCCATCAAAAAAAATCGGCATCGGGCTTGGATGATCCCAGGCACCCGCATGAGCCGTTCCTCACTTCCCTTTTTGGCCTTGGAGCCGGCGATGAAACATGTGAAAAACAGTCGAAAAATATCAATGAAAAGCAACAGCAAAGTGTTAAACTATGTGGAACTATATACGTTTAAAATTGTTTAAACACATGTTTTTGTCTTGGCCCAAGTCGGTGATTTGGTACTTAGGTCTCACCCAAGGTACTGAAACCAGAAATTGTACCCACGAAACTTCACAGCATCAACCAGGCCATGGAATAAATAACAGTTATGAATTCCATTTATCACAACTATATGTCAAAACCGAGGGACATAGCATTGTATAATATAGTGTGAAACAAAAACCCTACTGTAAAATAAAACAGTATAACAGTATAAATAGTTCATAATGTAATGCAGCAAAACATAATCTAACATAATAGGAAACAAAAAGACCTAATACATATTATCTTACATAACATCATAGAAGTACATAGAAGTACACTTACAAGATCTTAAAAAAATACAAAAACATCAAGTTGAAACCACCCCCCGGTAGTGCACATGGCCACGTTTCGCAACCGAGCCGCGACCACATCTTTCTTGCACTCCATCTGTGCCCAGTCGCTACTCACCTGACCGGACGCTGCCCCGGGGCCTGGTCTACCAACGGCACACATAACTGTTAAACCTGGATGGTCGACATGGATATATCGAAGTCTAGTTACTGTAACCAAGTTACATACTATAGTTAAATAGATGTTCTACTGTAAAATCTACTGTATTGATAACCGTGGGGAACTGAGTTACATACTATAGTTAATAGATGTTCATAGTTCCACTATAGTTGCTATCCTCCATATTGTGGAACTATAGTTAGTATGGTAAAAATAAACCAACAAACATCAACAACTCGGGGGCACCACATGGTCACCACCCTTAAGGATTTCATTGACATTTAAGTTATCGTGGAACGCCACTATCACAAGGATTTGAATGGTGGAATGATGTTTGAATATGTTTGATATGTTTAATGGAATTCCACCATATTGGATTAAAAATTATGATGAAACCCATGATGTTATTAACGAAATCGATGATATAAATCCACGATGTGTTCCACTATATATCCATGTTTAATACTGTTACTCTCTCTCTCTCTCTCCACCTTGAAAACTAAAAACTCATTAGAATGTTTGGTTAAATCACAACCAAAACTTGGTTAAATCATTAGAATGTACCAAACATTAGAATGTTCCACCTTCAAAAATCACCAACTCGCTCGCCGGTCAAATATGGTCAAATCCCAACTTTTATTGCAAACAACTCCCCAGAGAGTGCAACGTTTGTTTCGCTTCTGATTCAATTATGTTGAACAACCAGAACTATACCTAATGTGGTTAAAACAATAATAAACTACCACCAAAAATTACCAGAAATAGCTGGTATAAATAAACAATTCCCAAACCTACATAGAAATCCAAATCTTGCATCATATTCAATCAAATACTTGCAAAGTAAACACATAAAGCAGCAAAAAACAACAATGCCAATAACACATCCAAAAGAAAAAAAGTTCTGTTTTACCGTCATGAATTAATCCCATCTTGGATAGAGGTCTATCATTGGGTTTACCAAACTCTCCAGCCATTCCTTTTTCGCGACCAAACCTTGGTTTCTTGGGGCTCGCGGCGCACGGCGGGCGGCGTTGCATCAACGCCCAAGGAGAGCGCCATCATCATCGCCGCCAAGGCAGCGGCACAGGCGGGCAGGAAACGCGCCTCACTGGGAGCCTGGAGCCAGGGGTAAAACTTGGATGGGGAACACCTATGAAAAATGGTGACTTAAACACATTTAAGCAACAACATGTGGGATTTTACTAACAATGGCGACTTAAGCAACAAACATGTGGATTTAACCAACCATGCTAAGGAGTACTAAGGATTTGGTGGGACTTAAGCAATGAACATTGGGCACAAAACCAACAATCGCGATACCATGCTGTCATCATATCATGCAGTGCAATAATATAAAAGGTTACCTCTCATTTTTTCGATTGTTTGTTTCCCAGCTGCTTGTTTGGTTTTTGGATTACTGTGTTGACATACCCATTATACAGTATATCCATTATATAGCCATTATTTGTGGCCATTATGTAGCCATTATCCATTTATGATATGGCTACTCTATAGCCATTACACACCCATTAATAGCTACTAATAGCTACTATAGCATAGCTTCTAGATGTTTCCAGCAACGAATCCCCGACATGCCCATCATTCATCGAACGTCCACCTCCATCCGTACGGACGAATGGGCTCTGGCCGCTGATCTGGTTCTGGCTCCATCGGCCCGCGGAGGAATCCTGAGAGGGCCGGAGTCCCACCCAACAAATAGCACATCCGACGGCATACATTATCCATGGGAGGAAAAAACGGAGAAATTCCCAGAAAAGTAGTGGTTAACTCAGGTTCACTCCTTCACTCTCATTGTGAACTAATTTCCCAAAAAGATCCCCCATTTCTGGTGGACTTACCAATAAGACCCAGTAAGAAAATAAATTCGAAAAAACATCAAACACAAACTCAGCAAAGCTAAGACAGCCTTAAGACAGCTAAGAATCAGGAAGTTGGAAGGCCAGGCCAGCATCAAAGCTAAGACCAAGACCAACCAACTACACCGGGAGCGCGTCATCACCGAGATCGGTGATTAAACGTCGCCAGAGCGAAGAAAAGCTGCGGGAAGATCTGACGGCCCGTCCCAAAGAGATAGATGGTAGTGGGGCACCAATTTAATGGTGATTTAATGGTGATTTAATGATGGTTAATAATGGTTAATGATGGTTAATGATGATTAATGATTAATGGTTAATGAATAATGGTTTAATAATGGATTTAATGATGGTTAATGATGCTTAATAGTGACTGGTTGGTGGTTGACCTACCCCTCTGAAAAATGATGGAGTGAAAGTTAGTCGGGATGATGAAATTCATTGAAATTCCCATTATGATGGGAAAAATCAAAGCCATGTTCCAAACCACCAACCAGAATATATACTAAATTACTGGTCATGTCCTTTTCCATCTTGGGGTCGGTATACCCTCTGGTAAGCAAGCATGGCTGGAAAAGCCCCTACAAATATGGAGGTTTTAGTGGGAAAATCATCAACACTAAATGGTGGATTATCTTCAATTCCCAGATCCCAAATGTTCCCAGGACCAATGGCTTTCACAGCTTCCCCACAAAATGCAACTGCCGGACCGTGTGTGTCAAATATGTTGTCAGTTGAACATGTGCTGTCAAATATGTCACATGTTCAACTTGTGCAAAACTTTGTTAACTTGCGCCTGTGACACACCCACCCACACACACACACACGCAGAGCTGCATGTTCCGCGTCTTCTTTTAACCAATTGGCAACAGTCTGCATCTGGTAGAGACCGCAGCGTGGGGGCTTGGTGCTGGTGCTGCAAATGTGTGATCTGCCAATTCAAAAAGACAGGATGTTATCATGAATAATGATGTGAAAGTGTGGTTTGCAAATTCAACTTTGATCATCTTTGATTATGAACCAAGGATGTTCATCAAATTTCGGCGGTCATCTAATTATTGGCCCAGTGCAATATCTTGAATGTTTTATCCCAAAGCTGCAAGCTGCAACCTCATGTAGGTTGCACCACATGCGCCCTCTGAAATTATTTGAAACGAAACTTGAAACGGTGATTATAAACATGTGATTGCCATTGATTACCATACATATATATATATATATATGATTACCATCAAAATTACCATCTATAGGTGATATTGCTAATGTATGCTAATGTATAATTTGGACTGTGGCAAAAATCTAGGCTCTACAATACTGTAGGATGTTGTCCCTAGTGCAAGGACCCAACAGCCATAATCCAGGTGGACAGCCACTCTGCGTCTGGAAATGAGCCTTTGGTCCCACTGTCAATGGCCATTTCAGTTACCTAAATTGAAGGTACCTACCATATATAAGGCCTATGTAAAGGCTATGTAAGAGGCTATGCCCCAACAAATGTTCCTTTATATTTTATGCCGTGCCTCTATTTTAGGGTCCTGATACTCCCATTGACAGTGGAAGCATGCACGCACACCTGATTGGCATGGACATCCTGAATGCATAAGAGATCTCCTCTACTCCATTAAGACATGGATAGCTATGTTCAATCATGATGTAAACAAGAAAAGTACTTGCGCACTGTGGCATCATTTTCTTTTGAACAGCTATTATTGGATTCTGTGGGTCAAATTATCATATGTGATGCAATTCTTGAAGCAAATGTATTATCCCCCGAACAGACATAGGCCCTTCAAATAACGTGGAAGATTACCAGAAGTGGAGATTCCCAGGGTCTTTTTTCGGCTGGGGGGGATGGTATCATCATGCACAGAATCACTTGGAAGTCTCCGACACTCAGAACATCTCCTCATCCGACTCCTTGTCGGCAGCTGGAGCAGCCACTGGCCTTGAAATCCGCCGAAAGCCATCGAGAATCCCACTTGAATCTGTTTGGAATATGTATTTTAGGTCAACCCGAGAGTGAGAAAACCTTGGAGTAAAACTGAGTGAACCTTCCAAAACTGATACTCTGCTTCTAAAATCATGGCATCTCCCGTGCAATTTCACTGTCGGAGGGGTTACCTCCTCAATGTCGACACCATGAATGAAGCCAGTATGTGGATAGAACATTGGAGTGGATCAAAGAATTCTCAGGCATCTTCTTTTTTTCCATACCTGACATATCTCAAACATCCTCACAAATACCGATACCATCCGTTACCATCCGTTACCGGTATGGGTCAGAATATGACTGGTTCGTGGTTTCAACCCCTCTGAAAAATATGAAAGCCAGTTGGTGTTATTATTCCCAATATATGGGAAAATAAAAGCCATGTTCCAAACCACCAACCAAATGATTACCATCTGGTTATGACATTCACAGTTTGCCATGGAAAGATCCACCCATGCTATTAAGTTCGGTAAACCATCTATTTCGATTAGGGCCATCGAAAAACCATGGCTAGCCCTGTTAGTCACAACCAGATGATTACCTCAAATGATACCGGTACCATGATTACCTCAGATCCCACAGAGTTGATGAAAACGCCAGGGACCCGGTCTCCAGAGACCGGCACCGGCGGCCGGAATCCGTGCTGGTTTGATTTCACAGCCAGTTTCTATGGCTGGAACCGGCTCATTCCATTTCATTCCCAGACATACTTTCTCGCTGTTGAATCTATTCATGTCTATCCCCCCCAAAAAAATGGTGGTTTCAAGGCCAAACACTTTATGTATGCTCATGTCACATCACATTTTACTCAACAATATCAACAGATCGTTGGGTACCATCAACCATTGATGGCTGATTTTCCCAGCTACAAACCTCCATTTAGTTCGGGGATTTCCCAGCCAGCCATGTTTGATTACCGGATCGAGGGTACTTCCATTCATCATTATTCATCATTATGAGCCTTTCTGTATCAAATATGGTTGAACCACTATATACCACTCTTAAATCCATGTATAACCTCTCTCTCTAACATTTTATGATAAACCGCTCTTAAATCCATCTATAACCAGTATATGTAACGTTTATTGGGTATACCTTCCGGGAATCAACGACACCCCACGGGCAACTCCTATAGGGTCTGCCCAAGCCACACGACGCTGCGCCGCGCATAGCTGCGCCTCGCAGGGCCAGGAACTGCGCTCGGGCCAGGAACTGCCGCCGCGGGTGGAGAGCTCTCGACTTTGAAGAGCTCGGAGGTTGCCTTTTTTGAAGGAAATTTTACAGGAAACCATGGGAAACATCCCATGGTTATCCATATTTCATGCGAAAATCGATGATTTCCTGTAAATGTTCCATTAAAACAATCATTTTTTTTGGCCACAGCATGCCACAGCCCCACTTAGATGGGACATGGAGTTAGTTCATTAGATATAGTCCCATGGCCCATGGCTGTGAAGTTCTTCACCTGTGAGGTGGGAATCCATCTCAAGAAATTAGTGGAACTACTCACGGTTATCCGAAAACTGAACATTATATGTATAATAATATATATATATACCCAGGCCTTCCCACGTCGAAGTTTAACTTAGCATGTAAACAAATGCTAAGTTAAACTTGGCATTCGCGTTAAATACTAAGTTTAGCCATGAAGTACGAAGTTTAACCACAGTCTTGTTTTTTTGCAGGAAACTATGTGTCCTGGGCTCTGGGGTTGGTTGCTTTGGGCCGAAGTACTCTGCAAGATCAGTCAAAGCTTTGGGATCAAAAAACGACCACAGGAAAACATAGGGTTTGTTTTGCGCCAGCTCAGGCGGAGCGCCGGATAAAACTAGTTTTTCACGGGTAAACTCAGCATTTCACGGGTAAACATAGTATTTCACGGGTACTTCACGCAACTTCACGGGTACTTCACGCGAACATGTTTCGGGGGCACCACCTAGGATCCATTGATGTTCTCATTTTTGCAAAATCGATGTCAGCTCTTCCACCCAATACACTGCTGCGCATGAGTCATCCACCACTATATTCCGGCTTAACAGGCAATGCCAGGCGAAGACGGGGCCCAACATGGTTACCATGGTTAAACTATGTTAAACTTAGTATTTCCGTATGTCCAAGTTAAACTTGCCCTTTGAAGGCCTGGGTATGTATATATATATATATAAATATGGGCCAAGGTCAATATTTGGCTCAAAGTCATCAATTTTTGAAGAGTGTATTATCCTTTTTCAGGTTTTGGTATATAAGCAAATGTTATCGTTTTTTGAAGAGTGTATTACTGTATCGTTTTCCAAGCCCCAGCTCAACTTCCAAAAAAGATGTCTCGAATACTACTCTCCATTAACCTATTTTTTGCTGTGGCTCACACACATATATATATATATATATATTAATGATTAGGGTTTAAATAGGCAAATGCAATCAACTAATCATCCGAAAGCGCAATATATACAGGCAATCTGAGGATAGGCTTCTCCCACACAAAGTGCATGCAGCAGCGATTAATGATTTAAACCCAAACCCATCTTTACTCAAAACATCTATGGCGTGCGTATGGAAGAAAACCCTAAGGATCCAAAAGGCCCCGACAATGGGCCAAACTGGCGACAGGTCTGGTCTTGGTTCAATTTCAAATCAAAACACCGAGCCGTTCTTCAACGGCTGGTATACCCCTCACAACGAAATGAAATATGGGAGTTCTACCTGGCATATGGTTACGCTGAAGAATCATGAATTTGTCTGAAAATAGGGTACTCAGTTTCCATCAACTGGTTAATCATCACAATTAACTATTCACCATTTGATTGTCTTTTGATGGGTATATAGATATGCCATCATATATGCCCCATTCTTTTCACATTCTCGTCATATTTACAACTTAATTCACGCAACGCAGATCTATGGCAATGACCCTGCTTCCGGGTCGAGTGCAAACCCAAGGCGCCAAATGCGACAGGAGTGATTGAAGTTCTGGCTGTGCGCTTGTGAGCGCCACCCCTGAGCATTGCTGCGACAAGCGACTGGTTTGGGATGAAAGCCTGTGTCATTCGGAGTACTCCTTTAAAGTAAACATGTATATGTCATATCTTGATAAATCTCGCGACCAAACCTCTACCCCCATTGACACCTTAAAATCCTGAAATGACAAAATAGAATGTAGGACTTTTGATTCTACAGCCAATGTAAGCCACTTCACTTTTTCCCAAGTGTTCAGGAAATAAGTTGACTTCTTAACGCCTCTACCATACCAAGACCTAGAAATGTCAAGATGATACAGGCAGAAACTCATTGCACAGGCGCGTCCAGAAAGGATGTGCCATTGCCTCATGAGCCCACACACAGAACTGGGGGGAAGAAACCAGCGCAAAAGCCGATATCACACTCAATTTTCCGAAGAAAAATCATACAATTTGCTACTTACTTCCCTGAAATTTTACCTTGGATTGAAGATAGAACACCCCTGCGGAGTGGATCGTGGTCATGGAATTCTTCTCACATGTTTTTGACATTGAAGTGGGGTTCCAGTTGAGAATTTGGCGGAGACACCCGAAAATGTACCCTCTGGTAATTTAACATAGCTATTGAAAATGGCCATTTATAGTGGATTTTCCCAGTAAAAATGGTGATTTTCCATAGTTATGTTAATTTAACAGAGGGTACCCTACCAGTGTGCCACCAAGTTTCGCAACTTGGACAGTTCCGACACAGCCTTGGACAGCCGAGCTGTCAGCCGTTAGGATCATGAAGTTCTGTGGTATGTAGCTGGTTCGTGATCACACCAGCGAAATCAACTTAAGACAAGCTAAATCCCGGATTCAAACGGTTAAAACTTTCTGAAAAACTCTTATATCATGACACGTATTGCATATCATTTTTGAATGCTAAAACTGTTGAACCAGGGTCAGTCATTTCTTAGGGTCCATGGAAAAAACCAACCCTTCCAAAAGGTGACCCCAGTTGGATAGCGCCTGTTGTAGATGCGGGTCTTTCTCCTGAGATCTCACCAGCGGAATCTGGGATCGAAAAGCCAACATCGAAAAACCTGACCTAAAAAGAGACGGTCTGTGACGCATATAGTTGCATATAGATTTACATATATATATATATATATATTCATGATATATATATATATGATATAATATATTATACAATATTTTATTATATTATATATTATATTAAATTATATTATAATATATTATATTATTATATTATATTATATTTAATATTATTTAAAAATATTTTATTATATTATATTAAATTATATTAGATAATATTAAACTATATTGTGTTATATTAATTCATTTTATATTATGTTATATTATTTAAAAATAATATAATATAATATAATAATAATTTATTATATTATATTATATTATATTAAATATATATAATTTTATGAAACAATTTATTAAATTATATTAGATAATATTAAAATATATTATGTTAAATTATATTATGTTTTATTATTTTATATTATATATATGATATAATATTATATTATATATATGATATAATATATTATATTATATTATATAAATACATTTATTTTACATACACATTTTTTATAAAATATAATAGCATATAACTTTAATATAAAATATTTATATTATAGTATATTATATATTTGTAAATAATATATAGTATACAAATATATGATATATATATATATATACAAATTAACTACAACATACATAATATATAATAATATAAAAATCTTTAATATTTATATATATATATATATTATATTTAAAATATAATATAATATAATATAATATAATATGAAATACTATAATTTAATATATTTAATATTATTTAGATTGTTTATATCATTTATTGAAAAATATATATATATACACTACGTTATATGTAAATATGTTTTATGTATCTATTTATTCTATCACCGCAGCCACAGCCCCATCCTCCAGACTCTTTCGCATGGCCTGTGGCCATCAACTCAGCGGGTCTCAAATCCCATCCATCAGACATCTCCACAAATCGAAAACAAATTCAGATATGGTCATGGATGGGATTTGAGTGATGAGAGATGGGGAGATGGATGGGATTTGAGACCATAGCAGACTAGTTGGTCATCACTCATTGGATACTGGGGATATACTGGTTTGAATGATTAGTCGAATGGGTAGACTTCAGAGTGGAATATGAATGGAATATGATATACCTATTTGGTGAATCATGGTTAATGTTGATAACCATCAACATGTAACCCAATGTTAAATAACCAGAGGGATATTACTGTTGGTGGTTAATGTTATAGCCTCTGGTTATTTAACATAGCTACGGAAATGTTGATGTGTTGACGTTTAATCAGTTCATCATGATTAATGATGTTAATTAATCAATTTAGTGATTAATGATTTTTTAGTGATGATTAATTAATGGCATTTAATGGCATACTGAACATAGCCATGGAAGCCATGGCCCGTAGAAATAGATGTGTTTTTGATGATTTACCGATTTACCTATTAAAAAATGTGATTTTCTATAGCTACGTTAAATAACTAGAGGGTAAATCTCCCTGTAGTTGTAGACGAGAGCAAGAGTTGTGAACCACCAACCACACATTGAGTTCTCACTGGTTTTCTCCCCATTTTATGGGTGGTTTAATCATGTTAAGCCTCAATTTTCAGAGAGCGCGGACAGTTAAAACCACCAAGCCCTACGGCAGCCAAACATCACTTGTTGCTGGTTGGTGGTTTTAACCATCTTGAAAAAATAATAGTCAATGCGAAGGATTACCCCATATATTATGGAAAATAAGACATGTTCCAAACCACGAACCAGGTTGCCTTGGAATTTGGTGGACGCTCCCGTCTGACAGAACAGATTGACCAGCCTCCAACTCCAGCTTTTCAGCTGCTTGATGGTTTTTTTCCAGCTGCAACTCTGCCTCCGGCTGCGCAAGGGAGCCACAGGAGTGACTTCTTGGGTGCGCCGCATTAATCTTCTCAAATTTACAAGCGTGCACCAGTTTTAATTAGTTTATAACAACTTGCAGGCGATGACATTGAATATGAATGATTTGTACTGGTTTCCTGGTTTTAGCCACGTTTGTTGAATATGTTTGGCATATCTTTTCGATATCGTTGGCCTTGCGCCCCCAAGATCTCAAAAGAATTGAAAACCTGCATGTAGCTGCAATTCTATCGGCATCTAGAGGCTAGGCAGTTTTCCAAGGTCTCAGGCCCAAATTCGATCCAGTCAATCCTTGGGACTAGGGAAACCTTGCACATTTGCAGCATCTGCGGTGTAGTTCCACAATAGTTGGTGCCATGATGGTTAGCAATGGGCCCTAACAGTTTACCTGGAAAATCAGTAAACATCTGCGGCAAAATCATAAGCAAATCATGGCCGATCTTACATACCCAGCAACATATGAAATTGTTAGGTGGTTAGAAAACAAGAGATTCAAGGATTTGACTACCCATCCAAGGTTGACATGGAAGTTTCCTAAAATAGGGCTACCCCCAGCTACCCCCAGTCATCATCCACTTTGATCATTGATCGGTTTTTTTCCATTATAAACCATCCAGCTATTGGGGAGGTACCTTGATTTTTAGGAACCCCCCACATAGAAATCGGCAATTCTTCATCCAGCTGGCACCTGGCTTGCAACCAATTGCTGCCGTTCTTGTTCCAGACTTGCACGAGACCTGCTATCTTCACCCGAGCCCAGGTGGCACAGAAATTCCCGATTCTCTTTGGGTGTTTTCAAATGTATCAAATGTATCCGTTTTATATTATGATGGGAATGAAATGCATAGTGAACAATTTATCGTTGTGGATCTTTTGTGTGGGATATTTATTTATATATATATATATTAATGGATTATATCACCATGTTTGCTGATGCTTAAATATATATATATATACAAATTGTTATAAATATAAAAAATGTGGGTTTCGTCTTAGCAGCAACTTTCCAAGGTCCGCTTCATGGTTTTTATGCTCCATGCCCACGCGCCCCAAGCCGATGCTGGCATGCTCGACGCTCCATTTACATCATTCTTTTCCACCGAACTTGTACGCTTCTGAATCCCACGGTCCCCGAAAAAAAAATCATTGGAACCATGGGGAAATCCTCCATTTACAGAATGTTCCAAGCTAGAGACCTCTATGTGTGCTGGATTCCACAAGATGGTGCCCCAGTTCGTTAGATAAGCTGACGCAGACAACTTGGATGGTGCCTATAAATATATATATATATATATTATTATATATATATATATACATCACTTAATTGTGGTTTATGGGTTATTGATGGTTATTTTAAATTAGGTATTGAATAATTACATAGCTGTTTATTTATGGCGTATTTATTTGTTTAACTATATCATTTTTTTGGTATATATTAATAGTATTTAATAGTTATATAGTTCATATGGCAGTTCCCATCGTTCACATCACAACCGCACCACTGGGGCCAACCTTTGCAACTCCGCGAGCTGCGACGTCTCAGCCTCTAGGGTGCCTTTCCGGGCCGCCTCGCAGAAAATGGCGAGGGGGGGGGGGATCATGTGAATCCCGTGTTTACTGAGATTTTTGGGGATTATGTATCACATCAATAGGATGTTTGATGATTTTTTTGGGGATTATGAAGAAACATCAGCATTTTTGGGAATTGTGAAAATTTGTGGGAATGATGTTTACTTGGGTATTAAACGATGGGAATTTAATAACAACATAATTCACCATTTTTGGGAATCATAATTTAACTTTCAAAGTAATGGGATTTTATGTTCCATTGGTTCCCATTGAAAAAATCACATGGTTGAATCATCAATATAATGGGAATCAACCATGGTTTTGGAAATGGCATTCCAATTGTGTGGTGGGATCACCATTTAATATCACACATGTCGGTGACCAAAAGACCGGAATGTCACCAACATCAGTGATATGAAACAATTGTTCTGCTTGTGCGTACTAACAAAAAATTGAAAATGTCACCAACATGTGTGATACTGTCTGCTTACCACTAGAAATTGTGATTCCTTATCAGGAAAACTGGGAATGTACAGTAACATCCCCAAAACACAGACAGAGACTTGGGCCTCAGTGACTGCATCTGCAGCTTCATCCAAAGGGCAGTGGAGCATTTCCCGGTGACTCCCAGAAGTTGAATCGTCTACCTAGATAAAACACAATAATTCAATATCTACGTAGATGTTGGATAATCGAAGGGAGTTTAGAAGTCAAACTTCCGACAATATGGACAGATGAAAAGCAGAGATGGGAAGAGTCAGAGAGAAGAGAAGAGTAGAAGAGAGGAGAGTAGAAGAGAGAAGATCAGAGAAGAGAAAGAGTCAGAAGAAAGAAGCTAACAGGTGCGCGAAAAGGTAGGAAAGTCGCAAAACACTGTGTTTTTCAAATGATTTGTGGCTCCGGAGGGTCAAAAAATGGACTCGCTAAAGCGGCGGGTGCGGAGCCATCTGGCCAGATGAGAGATGAAAAATTGCACGCCGTTGTGGCGCAAAGTACATTTCCAAGTCAAAATGTACAAAGCACCTCAGCTTCGGACCACTTTTAGAAGTTGTGATGTCGAAAAAGTGCACGCCGTTGTGGCACGAAGCACATTTCGATGTCCAAATGTACAAAGCACACTATGCTCGGACCACTCTTGGAAGTTGAGATGTTGAAAAAGTGCACGCCGTCGTGGCGCGAAGCACATTTCCAAGTCAAAATGTACAAAACACCTCAGCTTCGGACCACTTTCGGAAGTTGAGATGTCGAAAAAGTGCATGCCGTTGTGGCGCGAAGCACATTTCGAAGTCAAAATGTACAAAACACACCGCCAGATAGATAGATAGATAGATAGATAGATAGATAAGATAGATAGGATAGATAGGATAGATAGGATAGATAGGATAGATAGGATAGATAGGATAGATAGGATAGATAGGATAGATAGGATAGAAAGGATAGATAGGATAGATAGGATAGATAGGATAGATAGGATAGATAGGATAGATAGGATAGATAGGATAGATAGGATAGATAGGATAGATAGGATAGATAGATAGATAGATAGATAGATAGAAAGATAGATAGATAGATAGATTGATAGATAGATAGATAGATTGATAGATAGATAGATAGATAGCGGAAGGAAAGAGAGGAGACCTCAACCACCTGTCGGTCCATCAGTAGGTTCGCTCTGCCATCCGTGATTCACAACAACCAACCGCTCCTATAGGTTTCCTATTTTTGAAACTTCCGCCACCGCCTTGTGCGGTACTACTGGTATACAATTGAATATTGGATAATCTTGGACAATATTATCATTTGTCTATCTAGTGGATAATGATAAATATTGGATAATCATATCTAGATCTAAGTATCTCCATGGATAATAGATAATTGAATATTTCCTAGAATTATCTAACTATATAGTGGAGAATAGTGGATACATGACAAACCCATCTAATGGACCTCAAAACACATATCATCTATCATGTGGTTGGTAAACTCTGATTGTAGCTCCTCCTGGCTCCCTCCAAACCACTGGACAGCTGCGCCTCCAGCTCACCTTTACAGCGCTGCACTTGGGCCTCGCTTTCCGCGCAGCTGGCCTTGACTTCAAGATTGCGACTAGTTTTACTGGTTGGTGGTTGGACCTACCCCTCTGAAAAATATGAAAGTCAAATGGGAGTATTATTCCCAAATATATGGAAAAATAAAAAATGTTCCAAACCACCAACCAGTTTAGATTATACATGTGTTTTTGGGGTTTACCACATGAGTTTGGCCGACATTGAGGTATATCATGGCATTCCATTAGATGCAAAACAATATCAACCCTCACATTCGAGGAGACTGATTGGTGGTTTCAACCCCATCTCAAAAATACAGGATTTTTGCCATTGGGCACCATCATCCTAAATATGGTTCAACATGAAAAAGCTTTGACACCACGTACCTGCTAAACCTTAAACACGTTGATTTGTGTCATCCATTGTGAAAAGTGTGCCAACAAAAATCAGCACCCCCCAAAATCAAAAAAAATAACATTAGAATTCTGAAAGAAGCAACAAGGTAGATTTCACGTTTGCTGCAGAATTCTTTTTGGGATATATAAACAGTTTAACAGTTTGTTAAAATATTGGGCAGATTAAAACAAATATCCCATCCTACTCACTTTCATTCCACTACTAGTAATTATACCAAACTGTTTCCCTATTATACCCAATATCGGAAAAACATGCCCATGACATTCCGGGTATATCCCTATTATATTCCTAATGCATGTGTGTATATATATATATGTGTGCGTGTTCCTATTGTATCCCTACTGGCAATTAAACATGACGATGGAACATATGTATACATATGTCATATTTGGAAGATGTTCCTCGTAAAATGCCAATTTAGTTTAAGGATTTCCCAGCCAGCCATGTTCGAGGACACCGGAGAGTATAATGGCTTTCTTGAGAATATCACGAAAAAATGGAGAATTGGCATCATAGTACACACACATATATATATATAGTAATAATGATAAGATAAACAAATAAATAAATAAATGTGTATATGTATATATATATATATATATATATATATATATATATATGGGCTTCGTGTTTTTTGCGACGGTAAGCGGTGTTTTTTGCTACGGTGGCCAGGTTTGGTGTTTTTTGCGTCGGTCACGAGCCGGTGTTTTCTGCGTCGGTTCCTCGGTGTTTTTTGCGACGGCCCCGGGTGTTTATTGAACTGGTAACCGGTGTTTTTTGCGACGGTGGTGTTTTCTGCGGTGTTTTCTGCGACGGTAACCGGGGTATTTTGCGACAGTTGCAGGGCGGCCGTACTAGTACTAGTACTAGTACTAGCACTAGCACTAGCACTAGTACTAGTACTAGTACTAGTACTAGTACTACTACTACTACTACTACCACTACGACTACTACTACTACTACTGCTACTACTACTATTACTACTACTACTACTACTACTACTACTAGTAGTAGTAGTAGTGGTACTACTATCCATGTCTATCTACTGGCTATACTATCGTGATATGGCTGGGCCCGGAGTGCAGTGGTGGCATTGCGCATTGTGCGATCTACTCTGCCAAAAAGGCTTGATGTGCATAAAAGATTACAAAAGTGACATTCGCACTCGGTGAAAAACCGCGACCCGGTAAATCTGGTGGTCGCGAATACTATTTAATATTCTGTGCAATTGACTTTCCTTTTGATCTGGGGGTCAGTACTTGGTTTGTGGCTGCAACGAAGAAGCAGAAGAAGAAGAACAAGAAGAACAACAACAAGAGTTTTACATTGCAACACAAGAAAAACTAAAAACTACTGCTACTACTACTACTACTACTGCTTCTACTGCTACTGCTACTGCTACTGCTACTGCTACTGCTACTACTACTGCTACTACTACTACTACTACTAATAGTACTACTACTACTACTGCGACGACAACAACAACAACAACTACTACTACTGCTACTGCTACTGCTACTGCTACTGCTACTGCTACTACTACTGCTACTGCTACTACTACTAACAACAACAACTACTACTACTACTGCTACTGCTACTGCTACTGCTACTACTACTGCTACTGCTACTACTACTTCTACTACTACTACTACAACTACAACTACAACTACTACTACTACTACTACTACTACTACTACTACTACTACTACTACTACTACTATACTACTACTACTACTACTACTTCTACTGCTACTGCTACTGCTACTGCTACTGCTACTACTACTACTACTACTACGACTACTACGACTACTACTACGACTACGACTACGACTACGACTACGACTACGACTGCTACTACTACTGCTACTACTATTACTACTACTACCACCACCACTACTACTACTACTACTACTACTATTAGTACTACTACTATTCATGTCCATCTACTGGCTATACTATCGTGATATGGCTGGGCCCGGAGTGCAATGGTGGCATTGCGCATTGCGATCTACTCTGCCAAAGGCTTGATGTGACCCGCCGTAGGAAGAAGAACAAGAAAAAAACAACAAGAGCTTTACATTGCACACAAGGAAAAAACCAAAAAAACAAGGAGTCGCACTGTTCGCTCTCGGGGGAGGCGCTGCGCCCTTCCCCCCGACCCCCCCCCCACCCGCCGTATTTTTGGTAAAGCCGCTCTCCAATTGTAAAACAGCCCCGCGCCCCGCCATTCGACGGTTTGGCATGACAACAACGGAACAGAACAAGAACAGAACAAGAAACAGCAACAACAACAACAAGAAAGAAGAAGAAGAAGCAGAGAAAAGAAGAAGTATGTAGCATTGAAGAAGAATGAAGAAGAATAAGCAGAAGAGAAGACCAAGAAGAAGAAGAGGACGAAGAACAAAGAAGACAACAACAAGAGTTTTTTTACAGGGCAACCACCCCAAAGAAAAACAGAAAGAAGCAAGAGTCGCACAGTTCCAATCTGCGGGGGGACGCGCTGAGCCCCCCCCCCCCCCCCCCCCCCGCCGTATTTTTGTTAGAGCCGCTCTCACCTTGCGAGCTCATTGCACAGCAGAGCACCACCAACACCACAACTACCCTGAAGCAACACGTCGCCGTCGTCGTCAACTACCCTGAAGCAGCACGTCGTCGTCGTCGTCCTCCTCCTCCTCCTCGTCGTCGTCGTCGTCCTCCTCCTCCTCCTTCTTCCTCTCACCGGCCACTGTCGCAAAAACCACCGACCACTGGCGCAAAAAACACCATTATTGGGGCACCGTCGCAAAAAACACCGGCTACCGTCGCAAAAAACACCGGCTACCGGTCAAGAAAACACCGATTAACATAACCGTCTGGAAATACACCGGTTACCGTCGCAAAAAACACCAGTCCCTATATGTATAAACTACGTGCACCTATATATATAATTATATATATATATATGATATATGATATATGGTTTTCGTAAAATACGGGTATCCCCAAAACATCCAAGTGATTGGACCCATCCTAGGATTGAAGCCATTGTGACTGACGACTCCCGCCTGCAGCCGACTGTTCTCCACGTCCAGCTGCTGCCGCGCTTCTCGCTCTGAGTCCAACTGTGCAGTCAGCTCAGTCAGCTGTGCTGTGCTGCTGTCCATTTTCGCCTGGTGCTCCCCGACCACTGGGGACCAAATGGTCCCAAAAATGTGGGAAAGACCAAGGCCATAAACCATCTGGGGATGCTGTCTACCACCCATTTATGGTGATTTTGGGGGTATGATTGAGTTTACATGACCACATTAGAGGAAGGGAAAATCTGGAGGAAAGGATGGCTCTTACCCTCAAATTCTTGAGGTTTTCCTGTAAGTTTCCCTTATATATATAGACCAATTCTGTAATATTCTGTAATTCTTGGGGTGAATCAGCCATTTACCGCTCTTCTGGCTAGCGGCTGTGTGGATCTTCCTGGGATCTTACCGTTTTTGCTGCCCTCTGGCAATCTAACACATAGATAGATGTACTCCAACACATTGCCATTGAACGTTGCAATTTGTTGTTGGTAAATCATCTAGAAATGTCTAATCTTTCTTCTTAAATGGCCGTGTTAACTTACCAAAGGGTATGTAGCTTTCGTGTGTTCACATGTCTCTTGGGGTGCTTTTTCAAGCGCACAATTTATGATTCATGGCTGATAAGAAACATGACACATGCTGGAATGTATCATCATGGCATAGCATCAACCAAAGAGGAATTTCAAGACCCTAAAATAGGAGGTATTGTACCATATAAGGGCATCTTTTGGTGGCTAATCCCCTTACATAGTCCCGCAGGCCTTATTTATATGTAGTAGGTACCTCCATTTTGGGTACCTGGAATGGCCATTTCTGGCTAATCTGACATGCCCCGCAACAAAACATGTAGCTTTGGGGTATATAGTATATTCATATTTATGGCAAAAAAGAATACCAGTTACTGGCCTAACCAAGGTTAAGCGCCCCCGCCGGATCCATGGTTTCAAACAATCAATCAATGGTTTCAAACAATGAAACCAGCGATTCTCCTTTAAAGGTTGACCACACGGTTTCCTAGAAGTTCCTAACTGGCAGAACCCAGAAAATTCTGCTGGTGCACGCCTGTTTCAAATTCTTTTACTGGCCAGCCACCACCTGTTTCTTGACGGGATAAGTCTTGATTTATTGCTGGCAAATCGTCCTTGGCTGTGTAGTAATATTATGTAATATTCATCTGCAGGCAAAATAGTGGTTCCTCTTACAGGAAATATGTGTTTCTTTTCTTTGCAAACAACACAATTGCCATTGACAGCACAACAGTGGCACAACACATGTATTCTTTTTCCATGTTCTCCCCATTCTTCCCTTGCCAGAAAGGCGTCCATCCTCACTGACTCCACGTACCTGCAAATCCTTGAGCTGTTCCTCCAGCAAGGAACGCTGCGTGGCATGGTCAGTGGCCAGCTGTGAAGCCTCTTGCAGGTCTTCCTGGAAGAAATCGCCGAAGCAGGCTTCAGAAGGAACCTTAAAAACAAGTGGGGAGTTTTGACATAAATTACAGAGCTGACATGATATACAAGTAACAGGTGCTGATCCGTAGCCATCTGGGCTTCTCCGTCAATGAAGCATAAATCACCTAACTAAAAACACTAAACAACGTGGATTCTCGAGTTCTGGGTGCTTAATGTCAGGGGATATTAGGACACACATAAAGACCTCCTCCCAGCGCCAAAGCCGCTGCCTGAAACTTGCTCCTCTCTGCCTCCATCTGCTGCCGCTCCACGTCCATCTGCAGATGGCACGTCTGCAGTTCAGCCTGGAGCCAAGCTTCGAAGTCGGGGCTGAGGGTTGATGTTGTCCTTTCGGAATTTTGGGAATGGGAAGTATATGGGAAGGGAATCATCGGATATTTTGTTTCGCAAAGATTTTAAGTTGGATCTACATCATCTTGAATCCAAATATGTCATGGTCACTTCCGTACTACCGCGTCCATGTTCGAAAGCCTGCGCGAGGGACGTCATAGACGAGATTGTAAATGATTGTAGTTTCAATGGATTGGTTTAGGGGAAAATTTACAGGAAAACTCCCTATTTAATGGTAAAAACAATGGTTTCCTGTAAATTTTCCCTTAAACCAATCCATTGATAGTTAGTTGCTCGGAAAATATGGACAATCTGTGAAACAATGGCAATTACCCTCCGGTAATCAGATGTGGCAAAAGAAAAAATCTGGCGGTTAATATGAATTTCCCAGCTATAAACCTCCATTTATAGGAGGAAATACTTGGCCCCTTTTTCGTGTGCAGCAACAGCATCGAGGCTTTCATGGGACTTCCACACTCAGTGGGTATGAGTAAACCTTATGGCCCGGGCACCTGATATAGTGGTCATGCTCGATGAGGCTACCGTACTGGTCCATCACAATGATATGCCAACAAATAGACTATCGATGTGTCCCAAAAAGTAGACAACCCCAAAATCAAATTGTGTATCATCATTGCCCCCACTACCCTCTGGTAAACTAACAGTTTGCTATTGAAAACGGCCATTGAAATAGTGAATTTTCCCATTAAAAATTGTGATTTTCCAGTTCTTTATGTAAACGTTTACCAGAGGGATCCAGAGGGAAAGCCTCCAAAAACCCGGGGTGTCTCCATTTCTGATCACATATTATACTGGTGACATCCCATTAGTTCACCATTAGTTCTCCTCGATATGATTGTGCCTTGAGTTTGTCCATCTCTTCCTCAAGGGCTTGTTTCTCCTGCCGCTCAAGGAGGCTCAAAGATTTGGACCCCTAGAAATGTTCAAGATATAGATATATGCAAATGTATATATATATATATATATACATAATGATATATATATATATATATATATATATCATGACCAGTCATCCCTTTTATACCACTTTGGATGGAAAGAAATCTTCTTCTTGTCTTGTTGCATCCCATCCCCCAAGGCTGCACCGATTTTCATTATCTGGGCAATGATGAGGTCACTGGACTACGACCAGTCCTCCTAGGCCATGAGAATCACAGATTTCTCCCATCGATGAAAAAAGGCTGGTTGGTGGTGCAATAACCATCTTGAAACATGATGGAGTTAAAGTCAGTTGGGGTGATGACATTCCCATATATGAAATGGAAAATAAAATTCATGTTTGAAACCACCAACCAGATAGGGGAAGTCCTGTAAAGCTTTGTTGAAATCAAAGTTCAGCAGGAAAAAAACACCGCAAAACCAGCATTTTTGCCACCAATCTCCATCAAAATCATTCAAAATCCCTGTGGTTTCATCCTAAAAATCCCAACCCAGCCACCCTTCCGCTGGGCCTGCAGGCGTTGAGCTTGATCTTTCAGAACTTTGGCCTGCGGAAGGGCTGGCTGGCGTTTTTCGAAGCCTGGGAAGTGGTGTCTGGGGACGCCTAAGTGGGATTGCAGCGTCTCGCTCAGGGTGTTTTGTTCTCTTTTCAACACACGTTTTCATCGCAAACCGTCGAGGAGCGACATGCCATTGAGGGAAGTAAAGAAACACTAAACCCAGATCCTCATGGAGATGGTGTGCTGTCTTTTCTCCAGGACATGTAGCTTCCTCAACTGGTTTTGATATGTTTATATCCCTTTCTATCATTTGCAAACACGTCCGAGTATTTTTTAAAGTCGCCTTCATCTAGGAATCTAGGCGACCCAGGCGCCTTGTGCTGCATGCTGTTGGACTTCTCGAGTTCCGTGCAAATGCCCTGGAAGGCCAACATGAAACACATACCAGGCACCACCAAGCAATAGTCGAACTTCCAGCTCAACACCAAAATAAGAATGATACGCATCATCATCATCATCATCATCATCATCATCAAAAACAGTAATAATTAATCATAAGCAGAATCAAAAGAAGAAAAATAACAATCATCACCAGAAAAAATATATCATCATTGTTGAAAAGGACAGCCGGACACTCACCTTCCGACTCCGTTCCGGCCTCTACCCTACCTGTACCCAGACTGAGATATATCCGGCATTTTTGCTGGCAAAACCAATGAACAATAAGCTGCAAAATGTTTATCCAAAATTTTAATCGGCCAAAAAGACTGTAACGAGGTTAACCCAATGATAAACCACTCCCAAAAATACCATAAACCTGTGCTATCAACAATCCTTTACATGTTAGCCTTCTATTTTGTTGGCTTGTCATTGCCGTATAAAAAAAAGAAGAGGCAAAGGCCCTATTCCGAAATCAGCAGAGGTCAGCCAAATCAGATAATCAACGGTCAGCATATGGAGCAAAGGCACCAGCTCGCGCATAACCCGGTCGCTTTCATCTTTCAGGGCTTGTTGCAAGTGGACCTTGGAGGAACTGCTGCGCAATGCTGCGCATCTGCAAATGCTGCACATCTGCTGGAACTGACATGATCTGAATTACCCTCCGGTAAACTAACATAACTATGGAAAATCACAATTTTTAATGGGAAAATCCACTATAAATGGCAATTTTCAATAGCTATGTTAGTTTACCAGAGGGTATATGCAAATTCTGTGGGAACTAAGGTAAGATTGGAATGAATATGCACATATTTAAACTCACTATATACCTTCGATGAATCCACTTCAGGGACATCAGCTGGAAACCATCATGTTGTCACTCCCAATCGTGATGACCCCTTGAACGTGTGATTTTAGGGCAGTGGCTGTCCCGATAAGTCATGGGTATATTGTTCCAGTGGGCATGGCTAACAGCCATCCAACATCATTTGTGTGCAACAAAGATTATGGAATTTGGTGACATGTGCCATCTAAACGTCAAACTACCTCCATCCCCAACAGAGGGAATCATCCCCAACAGCCACCCATCCACAAGGTGATGTGACTACCATCATCCAACCTCCAACCAGTACCTGGTAGTGGATCTGGACATAGCAACCATTTTTCTGAGGAGGGACACCGAGCATAGAAAATATGGAAGAAGTGCTGTGGAGAAGGCACCAGCTCAGAGTAAACACCGGCCAAAGGAACTTTCTGAAGACTCAAAGCCACCACCCTGCGCTTGCGCAGAACTTGTGAACAATTTCAAGCTGAAATCGATTGGTGGGAACAATATATATATATATATAATAGCTAGCTAGTGAAACTCTGTCCGACTTTCAGACTATCCAGGGGATAATGCGAGGAATAACTGGCGAAGAAACATGATTAGATTGCACACATATAAATGGGATAATTTGAGGATGGCACACACACAGATATATATATATATATGTAGAATAAAATGTAGGCTTATATGCATAATATTAAATATATCTATCTACCTACCTACCTACCTACCTATCTATCTATCTATCTATCTATCTGGGTACATATGATTCATGACCAAAGCTCTCGACTTGCCGCATTGGCCAAACATAGGGGAACTCAGTGAAAAACATGGGGATAATTCCTTCGATCCTTCGATCCAATGGCCAGGTTCGCAACAACCAACTGAGCATTGGTAAAACATGACCTGGTTGGTGGTTTGAACCCCTCTGAAAAATATGAGTTCGTCAGTTGGGATGATGAAATTTCCAATATATGGAAAGTATTATGGAAAGTCATAAAAGCCATGTTCCAGTCACCACCAAGCAATGACCCTGTTTGTTCTGGCTTTGTCTGGAATAGGGCATCCCCTTTAGAAACTGATGGCTTTTTTCATCGTTTTCTGCACTGGAATGCTTTAAGATGCTTTAAGATGCTTTAAGGGACAACCTATTGCTGTACTTATGAGGTTCTCCTGCAACTTTTCATCCAAATCCTGGGGTTTCTCCAGAAGAGGTGGCAAAATTTTGGGTGCAAATTTGGGTACCACCCATTTTTTTTTGGATACCCTCTGAGAATTTGAACATACAGTAGCCATGGACCATTGAGTAAACTGTTAGCCATTACCAGAGGCTAACTCCCCAGTATTGTCCGTTAACCCCCAGAAAATCCAGAACAACTATATATGCCATTAGTATCCCATGAATCCAGAACAACTATGCCACTAATATCCTATGAAACCATAAATAATTATCCCATTTTGTATTCCCATGGTGTTGGGATATTTCACTCTGGCTAAACCAGGCTCCAAGCAGCTGCTGCTGGAAGGCTGCCACCTGTTTCCTTGGGGCTGGAAATCTCCGAACAAGATGCAGGTCTTGATTTATCATTGATTGATATCTGGTTGGTTAATGATTATCTATGGTTAATGGTTGATGATTATCTATGGCATCTATGGTTAATGGCTAGAAAGTATCTATCTGGTTGGTGGTTGACCTACCCCTCCGAAAAATATGAGTTCGTCAGTTGGGATGATGAAATTTCCAATATATGGGAAAATAAAAGCCATGTTCCAAACCACCAACCAAATAGCATTGATTGATCATTGATTGATCATTGATTGACCTGGATTGATGTTGATCCAGCTACTGGCCGAATGGCCCTGACATTTCAATCTTGATCAGTCCCGTGGCACGGTGCGATCAAAGACTGAGGCCCAGTTGGATGCTGACTCCAAACATGATCTGAAAAACTCGGAGGATTCACATCTCAAAAAACATGACAAATCGATGGCAAAATCGATGTCCCCAAAGAACCAGCGATTTTCGGATGTTCGCAGTGGTGAGTTTTGATCCATCACTCCATCGGTCAGTTTGTCCAGAAGGCACCCCAGCATAACGATGGGCAAGTTACGTCGGTAAAATTGGCTTGTGGTCATCCAACCCTAAAATTGGGGATCTGCAAAAACAATGGCATTCTGGTTGGTGGTTGACCTACCCCTCTGAAAAATATGAGTTTGTCAGTTGGGATGGTTATTCCCAATATATGGGAAAATAAAAAATGTTCCAAACCACCAACCAGCATTAAGCTAATTCCAGGTTTTAATGGCGAAATGACCATCCCAAATATGGTAATTTATCTGATATCCGCATCAATGTCCTGTAAAATCCCTCCTGGCATCCTTCTCCAAGAAATTTCTAGCATTTCTTGTTTTCTAGTAAAGTTCAGAATTTCAGGAGTTTCAAAGAATTTCTCAGTGAACTTGCATTTGTTATAGGTTTTGCAGTGAATGATGTGATCAGGTGGGTTCTAGAAAATTCGGTTGTATGATTTTCCGAATTCGCGGGAGTTTGACCGCTTTTGGAGGGAGTTTGACACTTGTTTGCAGGAGTTTTGCGGATAATTTTTGACGGTTTTGAAGGTCAAAACATGAAAACAAATCCACATGTCATGCAAAAAGCTTGTAGCCTGGGAAATCCACAACTCATTGGTTCTGGATGAATAGGAGTTTTGATCAATTTGACATCGTTTTGCTCAAAAGGTCACTTCCTAGAATTCAGTGAAATTCCACGGATTTGGAAGGTCCGGGCTATGTTAAATGTTTCGAATAGATCCAATCTTTGACCGTCTCTTCATACCGCCATGGATCAAAGCCCTGGTACTCTGCCGTTCATACCGAAATAGCTGGCAAATGGATGTTCAGCTCCTTAAATATGATAATATTTCATAGGTTTTGATCCATTCCCACATTTTTTCCAAAAACCTTAGCCAGCCAAACATACTGGTAGATTCTTTTCAATTCAAGGATGGTGCTAATTCCCAATCTATTGTAAATAATGAGTTATAATTGTATATATATATAGGATACTGTAGTATACCCAGTATCACCCCCAACCAAAAACAAAACTACCAACAGGCTCCATCATTTTTTCACATCTCTCCCAAGTGGGTAATATCTCCAATTACATCCGGAATCCTTAACTTCATATCCCATCAAATCCCATCTGTTAAAGCATCTCCATCAAAACATATCAAATAGCAAAATGTCGAATGGTCAATTGTCAAATCATATTCAATCATCCAACCTTCAAAACAAATGGTGGTTTCCTATAGTGGTGGTACCCCTAAATCATCCATTTTAATAGGGTTTTCCATTACAAATCATCCGTTTTGGGGATCCCCCATTTATGGAAACCTCCATATATCAAATTCCATCAAATCCCATTACCCATAGGATCCATGTATGGTATATATGCTAACATTTGGGGTATATTGATGGTAAATGTCATCATATATAGCATACATGGATCCTATGGGATATCAAATTCCATCAAATCCCATTATGTTTTGGTTGAATTCAACCACCGGCCCTTCTGACTCATCTCAGTGTCCAAACCTCTCCGTGCGGTGGAGCCAACTTCAGTCGCAGGGGTCGCTGCTTCAGCACCTGTCGGAACTCTTCCGCACTCAAACGGCCCCTCGGCGGCCACGGCATACCACGGCGGTGCCCGGGAGGTACCTGGGGGTAGCATCTCCTTCAACGGGACTGTGGTAAAACCTATGTGCTTTTTGATGTTGGGATGGTGATGGATGGTGTTTAACAGTGTCAAAATGCCTGAGTTGCCAAGATGATGGTTTCGAATGTTGGCTTTACAAGATTCGCCAAGCACCAATGAAATTTTCAGCTTTCTCAGTCTACTTCCTCATCCCTCATCACAAAAGTCAACAAAACCTTTGGGGGGTTCCTAAAATAGGGGCACCCCTAAATCTCCAATTTAATAGGTTTTCCCTTATAAACCATCCAGCTATTGGGCACCCCATTTATGCCCTTTCTTCGGCGTATAGATCTTCGCCAAAGCTACGCTTCTTGGCCCTCCAATTCAATGAGTTCGCTACCAGGGATGATGCCCTGCAGATCTGCCCAAGAGTCCTGGACGGACAGAAATGATGTGAGGATCATGGGCTTACCATGGGTTACCCTCTATGAATTGGGACTGATAGTCAGTAACCCACCCTCAGTAAATCAGTAAGTCCCATAAATCTTCATTAATGATGATTTACTGCCGGTTGGTTATTTACTGTTACATACTGATCATCTATGAGAATCTGTTAATGGTTGATTTATATACTGGTTTACTGAGATTTATTGGGACTGGTAATTTCATAGTTTGCGAGTGAACCAGTGGACATTCTGCATTTATAGATGGCTTCCTTATTGAAGAATTGTGATTTTCCATGGCTAGGTTGAATTAACCAGGGGTAACCTGCAAAAATATGAAAGCTGAACATCGCCATGAAAAATGATAATGTTTAGTAGAGAAATCAACTACAAATGGGTCATGTTCCATGGCTATGTTGGATTACCAAAGGGTAAGATCCTGAAATGGGAATATATGGACGTTTCCTAAAGTGGAGGGGGGGTACCCCCAATCATCCAAATCAATACTAACATTTATAGTTTTGGGGTACCCCAATTTTAAGAAAGACCCAAAATGGCCAACGCTTAGCTATGCAGGTGGCCTCCTGGTCCACAGTTTTACCTGTTTGGTATCATCGTTATTCTCCCAGGTTTGGGGTGTGCTGATGAATTGGGGGTGCATATGGGGGGCACCCAATATTAAGGGAATGGGATTGGTGATGCACAAAAACATATGTGATTGAAAAAATCATCAACTTGAGGATGCGCATTGGATTGCCTGCAACAACGGGGGTGGTTATCGAAAGTTCGGGTAAACATGACGAAAGAAGGGAATGTGGTCCAGGAACATGCCGACAACTGGGCAGTACCACTGGCTACTGGTCCCTTTTCTAATCATAACCACGGGTTGTCTTCAGAGTACATGTTGTTTTGGAAGTGCGTGTGGCCGGCATATCAGGGCCTTCAGATTCTGGACAACAGCGGCTAGAATGGGGCCGTTGCAGTGTTCTTTTAGCCACAAAACAACATGCTGGAGCATGGTGGAACCGAAGTTTGGGTGATTCAGTCACCCACCCCGAGAACACATTATAAATTCACATTCCTAGGTCATTTGAAACCCTCATCCTTAGAGCTGCATGTGTGCAACATCGCTATTTGTTTTAATCAAAGCGGTCTCTAAGTTTATGAATGATAAATGATGAACATGCGAGTATTTCTACAGTCCGGTGGAATCGCCACCATCTCTAACGCCTGACGAACATGTGGAGCAATGTTCGCAGCGGGAGACTTCAGCACCCAGGGGTAGAATGGGTTTGTCACAAACATTTGGTGTACACGTGTGTACGACAAACTGCCAATTTGGCTAAGGGTCAAAACCCTGGTGCCCCGTTGTTCACACCAAAATCGGTGGTAAAACATTGCTAAATCGATGTCCATCCCCACACACACACATATATATATATATACAATATGGACACAAGTAACAGTAACACAAGTGCCTTGACTCTTCCCCATTCTGCTTGGGAAAATGATGATAAACCAGTGGATATGGGGGTACCCTTTCCATTTCGAGCCCAGTCTTCGCAGCCATCCCATGCTTTGACACTCGACCTGTTTCACAGTTTTGATCACCAAGGGGGCATATCTCCTTAGCAACCAATTTGAACCATGCAGTCGCCAGGGGGAAAAACACGCACATGTATGTATATGTATAAACTGTATATGTATATATATATATATATATATATGTATATATATATATATATGTATATATATATATATGTATGTATACACACATGTCTATATATATATATATATATATATATTTATTTATACAGGCATACATACACATGTATGATGTGTAAGTGGGTAATCTGAAGGGGAATTCCTCCTAAACACACAGTTGGTTTCCAAACTCTTCACCGCGCTAATAAAATCTCTTCGTTGACCACGCCCGCTGATCAAAGAATACCAGACAAAAACCTGGGATGATCCCCCAGGTTCAAGCTTTGAGTCCTCATTTTTTAACAAAAAACGAACTCCTGGCAATTTATGGAGGACACATCATCTATGACATGCTGGAAAAAACTGTTCTATCTTTTTGCGGGTTGTTATAAACCTGGACAAAACCCGTCGAACGAGTCGTCAACACGTGACACTTTCCCTTGCCCCATTTCAGCTGGTTGGGGGTTTCAACCATCCTGACAATTATGCTCGTTACTGGCTATCATCACCTCATATATATATATATATATTATTTTTCTATCAAACAAATAAATGAAAACACCAACCAACTATCACCAACTAATTAGTTTGCTATGGACAACTACCACATTAAACTTTGGTCAATCAAATATAAATCAGCATGTTCAATAGCAAACTGGTAGTCACTACCAGGGGGTACCCTGGGGTAAACTAATAGTTTGATGTGGAAAATCCACTATTTGCGGATTGTTATCGTTATGAAATCATGGCTTTTCCAAATCCTTTTCTATGATTATCGTAGGGCATACTGTATCTTATTTGTTGTGGTAAACTCCCGACCACTGGGTTTCCCAGAAATCATCTCCCAGACACGTTGGTGGGAGGTGTAGGAAGCCAAACCCCAAAGCAGTGACCGATTCGTCAACCTAGCTGTTGATTCCCTGGGAAATCGAAAACAAATTCATGGGATATCACCATTAAACATGGTCATCACTCATTGGATAATGGGGATATACTGGTTTGAATGATTAATCGGACCGGATATAGTGGAATATGAATGGAATATTATATACCCTCTGGTAATTTAACATAGCTATTGAACATGGCCATTTATAGTTGATTTTCCCATTAAAAATGGTGATTTGCCATAGTTTTTTGTATGTTTACCAGAGGGTAATGGGCACATAATCCCATCCCATCCGTTCCAAGCCAGACAATCACCATGGATGTAGGGGATCAAGTTGGGAATATTTGGGACAGGATGGTGTCGTATAGTGGGGGTAGGATAATATAATGAACATTTGTTTGAAGAAATTGCCATAAATCCGCCATCAAATGGTGGTTGCCTGGATCAAAAAATTGGGGGCATTGGCGAATCTTTACTCCACTGGTAGGCATCAAGAGTTGTGGACAGGAACAGAATATTCTCTACTCAATGAGCTGGCTAGATAGATGGTTAGTTGGCCACCTACTGTACATAGATGTACACAGTGTGTGCATACTACACTTACTCACGAGCGGCACTTTTAACTCCAAATGCGCAAATTCCAGTTCCTGTTTGCCATCCATCATATTCCATCATGACACGAAAGAACTCGCAAACTGGGGCTGACATCTTTGCGTCTCAAAAGCGTAGAGCCAATCTCCATTGAAACAGAATATGTGATGATTAGGTCTGGTGGTGCTTCCGGGGCAGCAACTGCATAGCCTCTTAAACAAATAGAAGTAGAGGTGCGCAACGTGCAATTGCACATTTGGGCTACAAATTTACCATTGGTACATTACCAATTTGTATATCATGTTACCGCTGAGGTATCAAGAATATCCCATCTTGTGTCTGTCAGTAGGTATACCGCAAAATTTGACCGGATATAAACATAAAAAAGGCATCCCTAAATAGTCGAAGACTCTGGTGTAGTGTTGGGTCTAGGTATTCATGTTGGGGGCCCATATGGTTTTCACAAATAACTGCTTGATATTAAATGTGATAACGTGAGGTTTCCTAAAATGTCCATTTTCATAGGATTTTCCATGAAATCAACAATCTATTTTGGGGTACCCCCATTTCAGGAAACCTACATATTGGAGGGATGGGATAGTTGACGATCTCCACCCCTACCTGGAACCAAGTGGCCACAACTTCTTTCTCCTCGCAGTCGCGCACGGACGCTCGTACCGATGCAGCTTTCGACATGGCCACATGCCCAGTGACCCCAGGGCTCGGCTTAGGCTGTGTCTTGGATACCCAACTGGTGTATGTTGGTGCGGTGGTTGTGGCAACCGGCAGCAATTGCGGAATCAATCGAAGAAATATAACAAAATATGACTAGAGTATAACAGTAGACCTGTGCATAAACGTGGGCTGAGCACATGATAGCACATGGGGACTTGATTCCTTGAAATCATAGGTTTGCAACACAATGGAATTATATTTGTGTGGCCAACTGCATCCGAAATGCATCATCAGTGGCTGACCATTTCAAGCACCTGATGGTCATGTGTGATCATGTTGACTATCCTTCTGGGGGAAGCAAATCCAACAGGTCCTCTACAAAGCAACAGGCGAATCGCCGTGACATGTACGCAGTGGATATCATCATCCTCAGCTGGAAAAATGCAGCTTGTTCATGTCTGGTCGGCGAAAAAAACCATTGGCTAATAGGTATCCCTAAATGGGTTGTCATTAACCTCAGTTATATAATTAGGCAATAGAACCCGCAAAATATATAACCATCAAGACTTGTATTTCTTAGTGGTCCACATGATTTTCCAAGCACTCTCCATACGTCAGGACGCAAATGTCCCCGCTGGAAAGGACGCTGCAGAGCAAAAGGCGGCGTTTCAAAACGTGACGGCAGCAGGGGGTACGGTACGTCAACGCAGATAGAGTTTGACATGGAATGCAGTAACACCCCAAACGATATATAGATAGAAACAATATAGAACAGTCATTCAAGTTGTTTTAGGTGGATTCTATTTCTCTTAGTTGGGGGGTTGCCAGAATAATCTAGACATGGAAACGCCATTTCAAGCCGTGCAAAGATTCCCGGGTAACCATGTTATTCGTCATCTGGCTGTAGGATGTTGCAACGGCCTGCTGGTCGATTGCAGGTAGAATTCCCCACCTTTGACCACACATGGGTGCTATCATGTGGTATCAACCATCGCCCTACCCAAGGTTGATTACTGGGTTTTCCATCTCAGAACAGACTTTGCATCGAATCAAGGATGACCATAGTCATTCACTGCTGTGTTGTCATTTCTTCCCCCACCATCTTCCCAGCTATTTCACCGTTTCGCCAAACTGTCAAATGCTACCGCATTGACCGCAAAGCTCGTGTGCAATCATGGCAGTTGAGGGCTCACAATTTTGCAGTCCGTACCCACCTATCGTCACAGGTCCGAACGGTTTCTTTGTTATGTCGGCGCCAAGGGTATGGCCCCAAATACCAAATAAAAGTCAATTACCAGTAGCATCGCACAAGGCGGTGGCGGAAGTTTCAAAGATAGGGAGAGGTTGGTGCAGAGTGTAGTGCAGTTGCAGTTGCAGCTGCAGTTGTAATGTGGTCGTAGTTGTAATGTTGTAGTTGTAGCTGTAGTAGTTGTTGTAGCTGTAGTAGTATTTGTAGTTGAAGTTGTAGTTGTAGTGTAGTGGTGGTGTGGTGGTGGTGTGGTGAAGTGTGCTGAAGTGTGGTGAAGTGGAATGTAGCGTATGTAGTGTAGTGGGGTTGTAGCTGTAGCTGCAGTTGCAGTTGTATTGTAGTGTAGTTGAAGCTGCAGCTGTGGTTGATTTTGTTGTAATTGCGATGTTGTAGTTGTAGCTGTAGCTCTAGTAGTTGTAGTAGTAGTAGTTGTTGTTGTAGTTGTGGCTGTAGCGTGGTGTAGGTGTAATGGTAGTGCAGTGTGGTGAAGTGGAGTGTAGTGTAGTGCGTTGGGTTGTAGTTGTAGTTGTAGTTATAGCTGTAGGTGAAGTGTAGTGGTATTTGTAAGCGTCGGCGTCGTCGTCGTCGTCGTGGTGGTAGTAGTAGTAGTAGTTGTTGTTGTTGTTATTGTTGTTGTTGTTGTTGTTGTGGTTGCTGTCGTTGTTGTGTAGTGTGGCGCGGTTGAACGTCCAAAAGTTGTCCGAACGTTGCGTTTTTTTGTACATTTGCACTTTTTCAGCATCTCAACTTCCAAAAGTGGTCCGAGACTGTCAGTTTTTTACACTGTTCACTTCCAAATGTGCTTCGCACCACAACAGCGTGCACTTTTTCAACATCTCAACTTCCAAAAAGTGCTCCGGACCCGTCAGCTTCAACACTTTTGACTGCCAAATGTGCTTCGCACCACAATGGCGTGCGCTTTTTCCACGTCACAACTGCCAAAAGTGCTCCGGATGTGACGTGTCTTCAGTTTTTTCACTTCCAAATGTGCTTCGCGCCACAACGGCGTGCATTTTTTCATCTCTCATCTCCCCAAAAGGCTCCGCATCCGCCGCTTTAGCGAGCCTACTTTTCGACCCTGCGGGGCCACAAATCATTGGCAAAACACAGTGTTTCGCGACTTTGCTACTTTTTCCCGCACCTGCATCTGTCTTCTGACTCTTTCTCTTCTCTGATCTTCTTTCTTCTTCTCTTCTCTTCTCTGACTCTTCCCAGCTCTGCTTTTTCATCTGTCCAGATTGTCGGAAGTTTGACGTCTAAGCTTCCTTCGAAAAGTTATAACAGCCCCCCAAGAAAGGTTATAGAAATCGCTCGTATTTCGTCGAGTGTTCACTGCAAGTTCAAGGCAGCCAACGAGCAATGGGGCGGATCTTGATCTAAGGAGCTGGCGCAAACTCAATTGCACTTGTAGCTGAGTCGCGCGATTGAAACCTCAAAACTTTCCAGGGATTGGGGCGCAATGGCACCAAATATGTTTCAATGATTTTCAATGTACACCCCGCCCTGGCATTGTAAAGAATATGAGATAACCTCAAAGCGCTGCTCCAGGTAGATTTAAAGCCAGTGCAACCTTGGAGGTATGGAAAGAGTACATAATCGGAGATCCTGCTGAGGGACATGAAGAGCCGCGTGGCAAATATCTCTATCCCCGCCCCATAAAATTTGGCTCATAGGCCCCCCCGGTTGTTACCATACACTCCAATACATTAGGCATAGTAACAAATTCAAAATTGTATTTTTGATGGCTCACATCTACACCAACAGGTTTCTCGCAATCCAAAGGCTGAAAATCATTGCAAGAAGCAATGGGGACAGCCTCACAAAGCACGGAAATTTGCTGGAACTGGGTTGAGCTTCTGCCTGCACAGCATTGGCCACCATACATGATCAACATCTTCATACTCCATAACCATAGCACTATTCTGAGATGATTTGTTTAACATCATTTAACATCATTTAACTAACCATGATTTCTGGTGAGGTAGTCCTAGTGAGATCATTGCACACCAAGCCAAAGTTGTTCGAGAGCACAGTTTTCTTGGTTTGTTTCAACCCATGTGTGCTTTTACGCTCGATTTGCGATCTTTTTCAGGCATGATGGAAATGACGTTGGGGCGAAACACTTGCATCGCCATCTTGAGGTTCAGCATTTCAAACACATCTTCTGACGTTGATCTTTCTTGTCTGGTGGACGCACAACCCAGGTGTTAAGAAGCGTGCAACGTAGTGACCTTGCACTCCTAAGGGAGGAGCAGTTGCTATACCAGCAGTTTTTTCCCTGGCTTCCTGGGTCGCCCAAAGTGGGTAATCGAAACCAAATGAGATCACGAACATGTACACCACCGTCACCATTGTATAACATTAGCATTATTGAAATATATTCAAATATATTCACATTATATTCACATCATCAGCATAACCATTTTCATTTTAACTGGCATGCAAAAAAGTGAACACCAAACACACAAACTTAAATATGACAAACCACCAGCCGGTTAATTCGGGTCAAGGTACTACCCTCTGGTAAACATGGCAATGGACAAATCCCCATGTATTTATATGATGTTCCGAGCTTTAAACCTCCCTTATAGGGGATGTTCATGGATTTACCAGCTAGCCATGTTTGACTACCAAAGGGTAATAGACGATTAAGGCCTATTTTCCAGGCAAAACCTCCGTTTGCAGTGGCCATGTTTGGTAACCGAAGGGTAAACAATATGTCCTCCCCATGAATAACTCACTCGCGGTTTGCTGCGGTCCTGCTCCACTCCTCGGCGAATTCCCAAGGCAAAAATGGATGGTATCCCTGGTCGCAGTTTCAGAGTTTCAGCCGCATTCTGGGCCGAAAGAAGGCCATATGCCAAAATGGTAGATACAGCGGTTAGAGGTAAAGCCGTTTGAGATGGTTGAAGGATGTTAGAGGTAAAGGGGCTTCATATGTGGCCTGGACTTCCCATAGAATCTGGCCATCAATCTTTGCCCTAAACAGGCATTGCGGCAGCCAGAGGCAGCGCGTCTCAGTGTCATTTTGTACAACAAAGAGACGTGGGACACTGCCCAGCCGCCATGAATTCAGCCGCAACGCATGACATGGGGCAGGCATGGTCCAGAATATCCCACCAGTTGCTCCATTGAGAACACCAACACCTCCGACCAATCCTTTTGGGGCCATCTATCTATCTACCTATCCATCCATCCATCCATCCATTTGTCTGTCTGTCTATCTGCCTATCTAACTAAGTGACTAGCTAGCTAACTAGCTAGCTAACTAATTAATCTATATTCGATTTCTGACTTATCTATTTTTTAAACCTATCTAATCCACCCAATCTGTCTAAATTATCTAGCTAATCTATCCAATCTATCTAATCTACCCAATCTAATCTATGTAGTCAATCCATCTAACCAATCTATCTACAGTAACTATATAATAAATTTTAAAACGCTATCTGACTAATCTAGCTAACTAATCTATCTAGCTAATCTATCTAAATAACCTATCTGACAGATCGATCTAACTAATCATCTAGCTAGTCTATCTAACCAATATCTACCTGACTAATCTATATAATCCAGCTGAATTATCTAAATAATATATCTGACTAATCTATCGAACAAATCTCTGAGACTAATCTATCTAGATCTATTTATTCATCTATCTAACGCATCTATCTCTCTCTCTCTCTCTCCATCTATCTATCCATCCATCCATCCATCTATGTGGATAAATCTCTCTCTCTTCTGTTGACATCACCTTCTCCACTTGGCCTATTCTGTTTAAGAACAACATATGGAGCCACAGTGTCATTCATCAAACCTTTGGGGTCGTCACCCTTCCAACATCTTAACAAGGAGCTCTTGCTCTGGATTGTGCCCATGCGTCCACATGTCGGCATCGGGGGCAGCAAATGCTTGGGGCGAAAAAAGGACAACAGTTGCGGGATCCGACTTAACTTCGGATCCGTCCGAGATCCATATCGCCCAACCTCGCATAAATCCTGATCCTTTGGTCATTTCACAGTTTGCTATGGTATAGATGGCGCATCTAGTTCGATGATTTACAGTACCGATAAAGAATGGTGATTTCACACAGTTATGTCCAATTACTAGAGGTTATACCCTTGTATGCATGACTTTATTTCCACTGGCCCCATACAAAAATATCTCCAGATCCAGGGCCCTTCGCCCAGAAAGGTAGGCATGTCCTCAAGGTCCGGTTGGTTGACGTGCCACCTGAGGAAGCCGAAAGGGAGCCGGGCACGTCCGGCTGGACCTTCCCAGCATAGCAGTTGAAGTAAGTTGTGGATTTGCACTGGGGAACACTAATTTAATCGAAACCCCAATAAAGCCAATTGGTTCCATTCCTCAATTAAACATTGACTTTAAGAGGCGTTTGGGGGGCTTTAAGTTTCAATCATATGTTTATTTAATAGGGATTCGGAAATTCCAAGAATCTTGCCCTGCACGAACATGGTTAAAAAAAAAACATTACAGTGCAACATGGCTAAGCCCCATTAAACCAATCACTATTTGACACACGCATTGACCACTGGGTCCATGTGCAATCCCACACTCAGGATTCAAAACTTCACTCTTTAGTGTCGTTTCATCTTGAAGTATGCCCCATAGATTTATTTCTGGAAATCCCCGAACTAAATGGAGGTGTCTAGCTGGGAATTTTTTATTGAGCTAAATGGGAGATTTTCCAGGTCATGTTTGACCCCAAAATTATCCAGAACCGCCGAATCTACAACATGTCATGTGGGATTGTGCAGGTTGTGTTTGTTTCTGGTTGGTGTTTTTTTTTGGCCACCCCCTGAAACTATATGTGCCAATCGCTCGGGGCCATAGGATGCTTCTCATATCATGTTCGCTTTTGTTGGGAAGAAACCACACAATAGATCCGAATAGTTCAAAGCATTGAGAAATTGAAAGTCCCAAAGCAATCATCATTCATTAAGTGAGGTCGTTGCAGGACTGTTAAAAAACCATTCAGACCTTCTCAAGGACTGGATTTCACAGTTCCGCCACAGATACATATAATACGAACATACATATTGTGTATGTCGTGTCATGTCGTATCGTGTTGTGTCATGGAGAGTTCACCTCATGCCACTGGGCTTCGCGTCCAAGGATCCAGGGCTGAGGACAAAAAGTCGATCAAGTTGTTACTCCCCCGCAGTTCCTCATGGGATTGTGATCACAGCTGGCGGAGGGTGAGTTCTTCACAGTAGCAAAAAGAGGGAGAATAAAAACCGAGTTGATTTACCCTCTGGTAATTTAAAATAGCTATTGAAAATGGCCCAGTCGAAATAGTGAATTTACCCATCGAAAATGGCGATTTTCCAGTTCGTTATGTTAAGTTATAGTTTACCAGGCCGGGTAAGTAGGGTGGTTCCCCCCTACTCAGTGATCCAGATGCGAGCCATGGTGCTGGAATATGAATCCCAACACTTGCCCGAACAAAATCACCCAGATTTGTAGGTAAATATATCATACATGGAGCATATAGGCAGTAGATGGCAGTAGTATCTGAGTCTATCTTTCTATAGCCTATCTGTCGGGATATGCTTTAAATGACATTCTATCTGAGTCTATCTTTCTTTAGTCCCGTGCAAACACTCTTTCTGAACAGCTTCTGACACGCACCCACCGCTGGAATGTGCTAATGTCTCCAAGCATCAGCTTGCGCTTTTGCAATCCTCGTAGCTTGACTCTGCCTTGGCAGGTGGCACTGCCTTACCTGCTTGGTGGTTATGGCAAGTATCAACAAGCTATAACCCAACAAAAAACATTTGCCATTTTGAAGACCATCATTCCACACACAAGAAGGTAAATGAATACACAAATGAAAAAAAACAAGAAACATGTCTTTGAGGTTGAAAGCCACCAGCCAGTTCCATATAGTGACTATAGCCATCCGAACCATCTGTCATGGGACATTCTCAAGCCACAAAACTTAACACCCAAACCCGAACTGCCGTAGCGATGCAGCGATGCACCTGTGCCAATCCACGAAGGTACGAGATATCAGGACCTCCCAGGGAACGATGGAGTCACTGAGTCAAGAATGATGCGAGAGGCTTCATCATCAGCGCTTCAGGACCAGGATATTCAAAATGGTATTTGCTAAGGGGTTAGTCATATCATTCATAATGCCTTCATCCCAGAAACCATGATTTAGTAAGTAGTGGATGTGATTAATTATTAATTTTGATATTTATATATAGTATACACATAATCCAACTTCTCTTGATTCAATTCACATCAGCTCTCAAAGTTGCCATGGCAGACCGCGAAAACTTGTCGTCGGCTCCAGTTATGTCAAGCCTGGGCCTGGAAAAGTCACGCGACATGTGGTGGTCCCAGCCATTCTGAGTTCTTGGTTTGTTGATTTACTACAGGGTGGTGCCCCAGTTCGTTAGCTAACTTGGTTGAAATAAGTCCAATTTCACTATGAATTTCACTAGGGTTTTTGTTGATATATCGAACTAGTTATATAATAGTTATATAATGGTATTCGAACCCATTTATAACTGGGGGGGCACCACCTTATAAGATTCAACTTTCAGTGACTTATGGTACATCCATCTGGAAACAAAAATCTAGCCGCAGAAAAGAAAAACATTCAAAATGAATCTACACAAGTGTGTGGTTGCCATCCATTCAGTTTAATATATTATTAAGGATAGGTTTAAGGGAACATTTTCGACCCTGCAAAAGTGTTGCTTCTCCAAACCATGGCTTAAGATGTTCCCGTATAATGTTCACCCAACCCATCTGGGCAAATTATTTCGGTAATTCACTCTAAAAAAAAACGGCTCTTTTAGGGATCATTCCTACAATGGGATAATTCATGATAATTCACTGGTTGGTGGTCGACCTACCCCTCTGAAAAATGATGGAGTTCGTCAGTTGGGATGATGAAATTCCCAATATATGGGAAAATATAAAAATCATGTTCCAGTCACCACCAACCAGATGATAATTCACATATGAATACATATGATGATATTAGATTCAAGATTCACTATCATTGGGATAACTCGCCCCCATATACATTCACCATCAATCCAGTGACCCCAAAAGACCCCCCTATAGGAGCCTTGGACTCCTCTGCCTCCAGCGATGCCAAGAAGGGCTCAAAGTCGCCGCTTTGCCGACCTGAGACGTGCAAGTCGTTGGGAATCCATGGCGAAGCCAACAACGGTTGTGCACAGGGAAATTTCATGAGCCAACTCACCATGGATTTCTGAGGATGAGTTTTTTCATGACATGAAAATGGCATTTCATGACATGATATGCCGCTTCGACATGGTGTTGCACTTTCACATGATATGGTTATCACTGATTGAATTAACATGAATTAACCGTTGAATACTTGCTATCATGCACCTATTAGCCTATGCTTATCAAATGTTAGATGGCTGCAACCTCGAACAGCGTAATTAAAATGTAATTAATGTAATTACTAATTTTACCGATGGTAAAAGGACCCACCCATATAGGTAATTCCCGGCTAGCCATGTTGATTACCGGAGGTTTATACGTTATCAACACAAGCTGGTCATTGGGGATGGGAGTAGCTCTCAGCTCTACTTCTGATGCTTCCAGCATCTTCCAGCAGTAATTTATGTCCATCATGGAAACAACCAAAAGTGGTATGTAGGATGAATGACCACAGGAATGTTCCCCCCATGTAAGCCGAATATGCTGAACAACCTCACCACATGATAGGGTCATCCGAGAACTCAACGGAAATACGTGGATTTGACCCTCAAAAACTCTTTAACCCACACACAACAAATCATTCTGAATTTCATAGGTGCAACCACAATCGCTACGACCCCCCTGAAGAGCTTCGCCCACTGGTATGAAAGCAATACAAAACATCGCTATGATTTTGATCCTTGATTGTACAAACGCAAAGCCTGAGAAGTGGAAATAAACAGAAAAACCCTATCTTGACCGGTGTACTAAAATGACTCAATCATTGGCACTGGACATTTGAGACATATGCATTCTGAAGTGGATAGAGACTGAAGACTTTAGGCTTATCGCCAAGTCACTTAATTACCTAGAAACCGCTAGAACTCCGGAGTCAGATTGAACAGTGGACACATGCCAATGTCCAATGCTTTCGAAGGACAACTCACAACATGGCTAGTCGTGGCACCTCTAGCTGAACCAGATTGGTCGACCTTGCCATTTTTTCCTGTCTTGTCATTGCAGTACTTTTGCATGCTCAAAATTCCATTATGAGGTTGTTTTCTTTGGTGACAATTCCTGGTCAAAAAAACAAAAGAACCGCCATATAATGCCATCTATATATATATATTACCTGGTAAACCATGATACTTGTAATTTTAACACCAAACCTAAAATTGATCGATTTTGGGTTTGGAGTTGAAATTTCAACACCGGAGTGGAAATAACCGTTCAGGAGTTAGATATGTTCTGGAGTGGAAAAAAGCGTTCAAAAAGCGTTCAAAAAGCGTTCAAAAAGCGTTCAAAACCGTTCGGAAGCGTTCTGGAGTTAAAAAAAGCGTTCTGGAGTGGAAATAACCGTTCAGGAGTTCTTTTTCTCTTGAATTTGGCAAAATTGATCGATTTTGGCTTTGGTGTGGAAATTTCCACGATCATGGTTTACCAGGTATATATATAATGGACATATTATATATATAAATACATATATATATATGTATTAATTACATTATGTAAATATTATAATATATATATAGTTAGTTGTTCAGTCTTTGTCCCCCAGGTTCATGGGAATTTTCCATCAAGCACCAAGCGGCTCGAGCCCGACGCCAAGCCTCGAGACCAAATGTTCAGTGTAAAATATATAAACATGTTTTTGTTTTACTTCATAGTATAGATATGCATGAGTTTATACATATATAGCTATGGAAAATCACAATGTTCAACAGGTAAATCATCATAAACAATCTATATTTATATATGTTATACAAACATATTGTACACACATATATATATAGTTGGTGGTGCAATAACCATCTTGAAAAATATGAGTTCGTCAATGGGAAGGATGACAACCCATATATTATGGAAAATAAAAGCCATGTTCCAAACCACCAACCATATATATATATATATATACATAGATAGATATACAATGTGGGGTCTTTATCATGCGTTTGTGATATATGCTGGTAATTATTATATTAAAGCCCAGTTTTGGTTGAAATTATTGCTTATGTTTTTTCAACCATGATCTAACTAGCTCGGAAATCTGAACCTTTGGAGATACTTGGTTGCCATGTGCTGCTACCACAAACACATCGCCCAAGTCCGCGGACTTGGTGACATTAATTATGTTGAGATCCATGTCGCATTGTTGGAACCACAATGGTTCTATTTTCATGTGCCATTTATAAAGGTGTGTTTAAGAACCATGTTTGAAGATGCCTCAAGACATTCTTTTCTTCCACTTAGAGTCACGCCAAAAAAACTATAACTATCTAAAACTATTGACTACCTATCTATCTATCTATCTATCTATCCATCCATCCATCTATCTATATATCTATCTAATGATTATCTATATATGAATCTATATATTTAAAAAAACAAAAAACTATCTATGACTATAACTATCTATCACTGCCATTATAACCACGTGTTCCTTTTCATGGCACTCCCACGCCGGCACCTGGTCCGGAACTTCGGTGGGAGGAGTTGGCGTAGCTGCGGAGACTCTCCAAGCGCGTGGTGTTGCTGCTGCAGGACGTGCCTTTTGGGAAATCCATCGGGGGAAATCCATCGGGGAATCCATCGGATCTATGTGGGATATATGTGGAGTGGAATCTGTGGCTGGGAGATAGGATTTTTTGGTTCTATGGGACTTTTATGGGAGGAAATTGGATAAATGACATTCAATATGGGATAAATATGGATATTTTTTGGGACAATGGAATATTCATGGCGCAATGGCGATGCAATCCCTTTCCTCCAATCTTCACCGCCCGGGGGGTCACCATGGTGGATGTGGGGGATGAAACATGATGAAACCACTACTGGGACCATAGAATGGGGGATGGGATGATGAAATGGCGATCAAGACCTCTAAAACCAAGTCTGGTTGGTGGTTGACCTAACCCCTCTGAAAAATGATTCAGTTCGTCAGTTGGGATGATGAAATTCCCAATATATGGAAAAATCAAAAAAGTTCCAAACCACCAACAAGAAGTTTTAAGGCTGATGACATCCATTTACGAGCTATTTTGATGGTTACCAGGGCAAATTACAGGCGACTCATAGCCAAATGCCCACAATAATTTTTATAGACCCCTAATTGCTGATGGGGTACGAAACAAAAGTTTATAGGGAGGATTCGGGAGTATTTAATAATGTATTATAAGAGAATTTAAATGTATTTAATACTAGGGGAAAGGAATTAACACACACACACACTCATATATATATATATATATATCCATGTTGTACCGACAAAAAGCGTGGCATAGTCGGTATATGGTATAGACATGAAACACAGTGGGCAACTTGTTCAATCTCGGAAAACCAACTGGATGGGTCATACTGCCCAAAGCCATAAACCATCCCCAAAATTACCCTCTGGTAATGACAAACATGGCTATTGAAAATGGCCATTTATAGTTGATTTTCCCATTAAAAGTTACTGTACCATTTTCAATAGCTATGTTAAATTACCAGAGGGTATTATTTTTATGGGTGGTATAAATCATTCCCAAATGGTAGGTTTGTGGCATTGGCTTGCCCTTAAATCAGTTGAATGCTCTTGAAAACCATCGCAGGCCGCTTTGACTTGGCCCATGCCAATCTTCAATACCCTGCAAACAACTGAACATTGTTCACTGGTAAGTAGATACCCTCCCATAAACTAACAGTTCGCGAACTGGAAAATCACCATGTTTACTATGTAAATCAACTTTTTCGACTGGGCCAATTTCAATAGCTATGTTAGTCATTTCCAGAGGGTATTCCTATTGAAATCTCAAAAGATTCAAGGATTCAACTGCTCGCCCAAAGTTGGCCTAGACTGCCCCATGTCAGCTTCAAACATCTTCGAACAGTGACTAGTTACCATGCAGTTGATCTGACTGAATGAGACATTCCCAAAGCTGATTTCACTGATTCAACGCATGGATTATGATGATGATTTCATATGATTTCCCTTATGGCATCATTTCATATATGTTTTCTATTGGATCCCTGGTGAAGTCGCTCCCATTTCCGGGATCTCCAAATCTTACGCCCTTTTGGATCAACTGAACACGTCAACGAAGAGTCGGTACCGAGTTGGACCACGAGGCGAGGACCAAAACTTCCCCATTGCGAAACAACACGAACTGCAAAATCCCAACTGAAAATGGGACAACATTGAAAAAGATGGATGAACATATGTTTTTTTCTTTTTAAGCATAGCAAACATCTGTAAATAGGGATGTAATTTGATGTAACGTCTAATTGCCCATTGCCAGGGATGCAGTTTATCATTAGTTCACTGCCGCGCTGCTGATCTTTGGGACTGGCGCATAGCTGTTCATCAGGACCTAGGTTCGCTGACCGAAACATGTGGGGTTCGTGTGGGGTCTTTGTGGCTGAGGGTGTTCAAAAAGTGAAACCTCAGCATGGCTAGTTTTAGATACATAGCCTGACCCCCATAAGTTGCCTGTCTATCTATCCAGCCAAAGAAATCAGCCATTAATCTTGGCACACCTGCCTGAAGGATTTGAAAGGAACAACAGCAAAGCAATCTTTCGAAACGACTTGACATTGATGGAGACAGGTGGACCCAAAGGATGGTGGGGAAAACATGGCTTTCCCTGCCATTCCTTGGGTTGCAGCTGTCTTCGGCAACTGCTTGGTGTGAACTAGTCCCACTTGTTCAATAACTATGCACCTTCAAGGGGTCATGATGAGTCATGGCTAACGCGTATCCACAAAATGGTCGAAGCAAGACAACTGGAACTGGAGAAGCTTCCCATACTATTGGAGATTCCTATGAGTAGTATGGGAATGTGGCCCATATCACTAGGGGTCCCCCAAAAAAAACCGAAAACCTTCGGCAGCCAAGATCTTGAGACTCCCAGCTGGCAAGTCTGACGCAGCCCGCTCATCCCCAAACCTGGCAGTGGAAACTTTCTCATCTGAAGGCATCTACGTCGATGATCATCCTCATCATGCCGCATAGTTTTCCTCACCTCTTCTGGGCACATCAAAATCACTCACAAACCTGACAGAAGCCGTATTGGGAATGAGTTTCCTTAGCGCCCATCATTTATGCTGAGGTCTACGAATGAAGTTCGCATTTGTTTACCAAATAGCATTTGTATCGTTCTTGGGCAAGTCATACCCAATGATATGCTGATATCCACATGATATCCCAGCAAAATCATAACTATACTCTATTGTGTGACTATCTCCCCAGTTACCCATCATTTACCCATCTTTTGCCCATCTTTTACCCATCAGTTGGATCATCCATAAGGCTGCCGCCCTGGCTGCGACATGGCGACATGGCCAGCACCTCCTCATCCGTTGCACCGTCTCCGCATCGCGCGTGATCAAAAGATACAGCGTTGCAGACACGGCCAGCGCCAGCACTGCACTGAGAAGCAGAGACCTCAAAGGGCCCACTGAGGATGGTGGTAGCCTTTCATGTCCCCAGATTCAGCTGAAATAAATGGGATTTCATGAGTTTCATGGGAAATCTATGGGACATTTATTGGTTTAATGGAAACATGTAATGGGACATATCTGGGATTAAATATGGATAAATAGGAGATATGAATGGATTTGTTTCATGGCGATATTGAACACCCCTGAGAAGCCATGGTGAATGTATAGGGAATGAGTCCACATGTGCGGGACCATAGAATGGTGGTGTTTAATACGAACTGGGGATGGGATTATATACATCATCTATTACCGTTGGTGTTCTGATTCCCTGCGAAACTTGATATCCCATGCATTTCTGCCGTTGGGGATATATGTTGTGGGACGAACGCCGTTCACCCATTCGTTTTTTCCTCAAATAAGCTATGACAACAAAGGTTGTGTATGGTTTGAAGCCATTAGAAAACGGTTCGGAATTGCCTTGCCACCGTTCCCAATGGCGGAACGATGGTATGTGGGAAAGTCACCGGGATCAAATTCAACCCCAGCACAGATAGAAATGAGTTGCAGATATGTTTGCAAATATCCGTGTAGGAGATGTGCCTGAGACTCTCAGACAAGACCACCGAAGTGTTTTTAGTGAAGCCCGAAGAATTCAGGGATCATGCCATGCCAAGATGTTTGAAGTTCGTGATGAACCCGTTTTCACCACGGCAGCCATGCCCACCCCCCAACCAGGGCACGCCCAGAGTGGCAGCATGCCAGGCATAAAATACGAGCAGAGCTGATTTACCTGGCGAAACCAAAAAAATTGGGAGTCCAATTGAAGCCACCACACCCTCCGGAAATTAAACCATGTTGCTATGAAAATTCACGAATTTTAATGAGTAAAATATTGAACGAAGGGGGCCACATATACAATAGCAAACTGTTGAATTGTGAGAGGGTAAGTTGTTCTGATCATTTGTCCCTTTCAATGCCAAACAACCCCTCTCAAAAAAAATATGATGCATTCTGAATTCCATTCTTATTGCGTGGCGGCTTCACCATGTTCCACCATGTATTAGCGATTTAATGCAAATTGCCATACTATTCATCCCCCATTAAAACGTGCAGATCCAATAAAAAATAGAGACAAAACGTATATACCACCACTAAAAAACTACACACGCAGTCATGGTAAAAAAAGATGAACATCATGCATCTGAAGTCTTCGGATTTCTGATTTCTCTAAGATTTCAACCTACCACTGCCGGGTCTCCCGGCAGCAGCGAAGCCATAGAGGCTGCGGCCCAAATGGCTGTGGAACTTCGCCACATCATCACTGGAACCGGTCGTCAAACCTGGTGGGCCCAGTCTCCATGGTGCTGGGCCCATTGGTGAAATCAAGAACCAACACTTTTCTGGTTGGTGGTTGACCTACCCCCCGAAAAATATGAGTTCATCAGTTGGGATTATGACATTCCCAATATATGGAAAAATAAAAGCCATGTTCCAAACCACCGACCAGTTTTTGCTAAGGATGGCGAGCATTTTCTTGAACAAGGAATACATGTTCAAAGAATTCGAGGTTCTTGTTGGATATATAACCATAAGATCATAAGGCACTCAAACACGGCTGACTGGGACATCCTAATTAATGTTGAGTGAGAAAACCATTGAGCAAACATGGCAAAATATTTTTTTCAAGTGGTATAGCCAGGTCCGGCAACCGGGAAAAGCATTATGAATCAGCGGACGGATCACGCTAATTCTTGCACAAACCCACATGAAAGCCTCCTGATGCTGGAAAATCCACCACTTATACACATGATTCAAAGTATTCAAATGAAAAAACAATGCGTTCCATTCACAATTTCATTGTATCATCTGGTTATTTAACATAGCCATGGAAAACCTTTATAAATGGAGGTTTTAATGGGAAAATCATCTATAAATGGGCCATCTATACCATGGCTGTTAAATAACCAGAGGGTATTTCATGGCCAAATGGATGCCCTATTCCCTGGTTGATGATCAATTTTCCATCCAATTGCCACAGTTTGAGGCCTGCGACCATCTTCACTGCACCGCTGAAGCACATGACAAACAGCAACGCCATTGTGACCTTGGAGGCGCGTGCCGGACTTGAGTATTTCAAGGGGAAACAGAGAGGATGCACCTAGAATTTCATTGGTGGATAGTAACCACCCAAGAAAACTCAAAAAATCGACTATCACTATCCTAGTAGGATTTTACGTTTCTATCTTTTTGGGGGTGACTACAGTATATACAATGTCTAAACAGGTGTTGGAGGGCTGGGTTGGGCTAGGTTGCTGTGTCTTGGGTGACGTCAACCCATGCCAAGCAACATATCCAGTCCAAACATGCGCAATCCTGGCAGGTTGAAGCCTCTGGGAGTCAAATTGGTGGCCTTTTTGATGGGATGCCAGAGGCTTCTTGGAATGATTTCTCCCGCAGTGCAAACATGGGCGTGGAGACCTAAAATGGGACACAACATCACTTAAGAACTACCCGTCCATGAGCAACTAAAGATTCAGCGGAATGAATTGTACCACTGTAACTGGTTGGTGGCTTCAACCCCTCTGAAAAATATTAGTCAGTTGGGCTGATTTTTCCCATATATTATGGACAATAGAAAATGTTCCAAATCACCAACCAGTTAATATCAATATAAGTTTTTCTTGACCAACTTTTAATGACAGTTAATGCATTGAATCCTAGGCATCTCCGGGGTCCCCAAAGACATGTCGCCAGGAAGCCTTCAGTGAAGCCCGGTCCTCATAACGCTGGGATTGTTGAAGCCCAGTTGCGACTCCTCATGCTCCACCTGTCGCCTTACCACCACGCGCAGAATGACCAGAGGATCATCGCAACATACAGACACATACAGTACCACCAAGCGATGCGCAAACAAACACACACACACACACTTGTAAAACAGAATGTCTGTTCACGAGGCTCATACCGATTAGTGAATTTGCTCGTGATAGGTCGTTGGACCGAAAACATGCTTTAAAATGACAAATTGAGTACGTTCGCCGCTGAGAGTGAATCACACAATTTAAACATCGAAATGGTATCATGGCAGGTACGTCTGACTGATCAGGTCACATATCACCAGCACTCATCCAGTGTCTTCGTTGGTGCAAGACTGGATGGGCTGCTTGTACCCCTGCGTCACAACTGAAAAACTAAGCAATTCGTAAATCCGTTGGAAACAGGTATACACGCACACACACACACACACATATATATATATATATAATATGGCTATATATATATATATATATACACATTATGAAATATATTCAAATAAGCTGCGAAAATGGTAAAACAAATGGGACAAATATTGAAAGTTATAGAAAAAATCATGTTGAAGATCAGATATATATATATTTATTTATATTTTTTTATATACACCTCCACTCTCACCAAGCATGATGTTCTTTTCGAGGTGGTGACGGTCGCCTACGTGGGTGCAGGAGGCGGTTCGTAGATCCAATACAAAGTCAGCGCTTCATTCAGGAAGTATCTATAATATACGGGGTGAGTATTACTTGGTGATGATTTTCTTAGCCGGTATGTATCGTCATGTATCCGATGTATCCCTGTTGTCAGATATAACTGTCAGGATTTCAGTATTACCCATCCAACATGTCTTCAATAAAGGGGCGTCAATGGATGCCAGAAAATGAACGGTCAAGGCACGCGTACATGCTGAGATATCCACCGATGGCAAAGAGTAAGACCTGTGCGGCACAGCGCGTGGCGCAGAGGCGCCGTCTTAGAGGAGCTCCGAAAAGGCTTGGTTCAAGCGCTAAGAATGACGAGATGGGGATGGATCAAAACCCTGGTACCTAGTGAAGCCCAAAATAGCTGGTAAATGGATGTTCATCCCACTAAAAATGTATCTATAGGTATTGACCCATACCCAGATAGCTGGAAACAGAACACCTGACACATAAATAAAATGCTTCCGATTTATGCTTCCATGATTGAGTGCCAATAACATGTAAAATAAGTGGAAGATCGCGTGATACTCTAAACATCCCTAAATGCTTACGGCAGGACATGGGGCAAGTGCTGACCTACTTCCACCAATGGGTCCATTTCATGATGGCTACCACCAGCCGAGTGGCAGATGCAGAATTTAATCCAATCCCGTGCAAGAAAACTCCTATATTTATTTAGTGTTTGCATATGTCTAAAATAGCTTATTTTATATATATATATATATAATTTAATATAATATAACATAATAAAATATAATATAATATAATTTAATATAAGTAATATAATATAATAAAATATAATATGATAAATATGATATAATATAATATAATTTAATATAATATAATATAGTAAAATATAATATAATATATATATATAGTTTAAATCTATCTTTGCATTGAACTACCCAAAATCAAACCATGTCCCACAACCACCACGAAGGCTCTTACAGTCTCTTAGGTGGGCTGTCCCAAATTCTTCGATATCAGGTTCTTACCCGCCGATGTTTGGTCACAGCCAGCTCAGCCAGCTTTTCCGTGGGAAATTGCTCCAATCTGCCAATTCAAAAACAAGAAGATACCCTCTGGTAAACTGCCACATAACTATGGAAAATCACATTTTTTAATGGATAAATCCACTATCAATGGCCATGTTCAATAGCTATGTTAGTTCACCAGGGGGTAACTCAACCCAGGACTAGTAGAGCCACAGTTTGCTCAAACAGCTTCCCCAAAATAGCTAAATACCCTCTGGTTATTTAACATAGCCATGGTATAGATGGCCCATTTATAGAAAGTTTACCTATTAAAAATGGTGGATCTTTCCATGGCTATGTTAAATAACCAGAGGGTATTATCTTGCGCAAATCCCATTTTTACCACGTAAATCCCGCGATTCGCTCAGGTGCCAAAACGTTGAAGCTGCCGTGTGTGAAATGCCGCAGCAGTGGGGAGCCACGAAGGCCCAGCAGCACACGCTGAGGTGAGATGTAGCTGGTGAGGGCTGCCGTCCTGAGGCGGGATTTTCACCCATCCCAACATGTGTTTGTCTGGCTGGTTAATGATTATCTATGGTTAATGGTTGATGAAAAATCTATGGTTAATGGTTAGAAAGTATCTTTCTGGTTGGTGGTTTGAACCCTCTGAAAAATATAAAAACGTCAATGGGAAGAATGACATCCCATATATGAAATGGAAAATAAAACATGTTTGAAACCACCATCCAGTTGTCATCTCCGCCCCAATCATCTCTTTTGGATGGTGAAGAAGAAGGACATGATCATTCATAATATATTTGACACCCCCAGACAGTTGCATGTGTATTAAGTGTATGATTCTGATATCTCTGATTATTTTTGTGTAACAATATTAAATGTTTGATCTGTTGATATTTAGGAACAAATGTGGCTATGACTGAAGACCATCCAATATATTATAGTGTTCCGAATTGTATCTATATAGTTCAAAGTCAATCTGTTCATTCAGAAGCCCGCGGCCATCTAAGAGCCAAGGCATTTCTGGGAAGCCCAGCTATACCACCTACCTAGATCAAACAAAGAAACTCAAGCACTGCTGAGTTTACCCAACAACGGGTTTTCTATGATGTTTTTTCCTATTGGAAAAGGTCGTGGCCGCGGCTGAGAAAACCATTCAAATGGGAAGGGATGTACTGTTCCATGTGCACAAACATGTCATGCCTCTTCCCTGGAATGAGAAAATCTTCATGGGCCTCATCCTCCGCAATATTCACAGCAGCTTTTTCCATGTTACCCTGTGGACATTTATCAGAGCGATGGAAAATCATCTAAGTCCCCTATAAATACGCCATTATCCATAGCTATGTTAGATTACCCAAGGGTAAGAATGTAACAATCAAGCCCAGCATCATAAAAACCTGGAAGGCAGCTGACATCATGAGCACATGTCCAAGGAAAAGGAGGGGTTTGCCTCAGTTCGGCTCCGCGCATACCACCTCTGAAGATATCTGAAGCTTCATGGCATTTCAAAGTAGCTAGCAGGAAGCGCTTAAAAAAATCTGCCACATGTGGTTAGGGATGAACATCCCCCAAATATAGATGATAAATTTTGGGGTCATCATCCAAGCTGGGGCCGCTAGGGATGACATATAAACAACAAGTGAACCATCAGAATGGCTAGGCTACTCTTATGCTCGTCGCCCTGGAAGCCCTGGTCTATAAAGTTTAGTCAGTTCTCAGAGTTCTCTGACCTGTGATCACAGTAAAACGAATCACACCCATCTTTAAGATAATTATATATAGGGATTTGGTTTCGGGATATTCATTGGACATTCATGAGATATTCATGGAATATTTAAAAAAAATCTTTTCTGTGACCAGGACACCATCACCAAGGCCAAGCAGCTCATCATCAGGAAGTTCAACAGCAACACACTGAAGACCATCAAGAGGATCAAGGCTTCTGGCCTGGCCCCAGTGGGTCACCAGTGGGTCACAAATGTCACTGAGATCTGGTGATTTGGCATCTGAGTTCTTGGGGGATCATCATGAATCACTGGTTGGTGGTGCAATAACCATCTTGAAAAATATGAGTTCGTCAATGGGAAGAATGATCCGATTATTCCCAATATATGGGAAAAAAAACATGTTCCAAACCACCAGCGAGATCATGATCTGATAGGTGAAAAAGATTGGAAAATGATGGACGATGATCAGCTAAGACACTGAAAGTGAATGATTGTCGTTTTTTGAGTCCACCAACCGCCAACCAAACACATAGATGGTTTTGATACCCCAGCTTTGAGTAGGTTAAAGAACGTCGCACTGCCATTTTTTTTGTCGCACTGCCATTGGCCACACAGACATGTAAGGCACCAACTAGGATGGTTATCAATCAGCTCAGGCCTGTAGTCAGGCTTGGTTTCTGCCTTGGAATGCCGGGTGCCAACAAGTCGATTCGTCTGTTCTGAAGCGATTGGGCGGATGGATTGATACTCTCAGCAAAGTCATGACAGCACACGCCCAAAAGCTGGTGGGGACCATTGATGAGCTACGATGAGCACTTTAGAAAGGGAATCATAATCATTGGTAATGTCAGCCCTGGGTTAATCAACACCTAGGCTGTTTAATTGGGAGGGTACCATTTAAGTATCAGATTATGACTATTGGAGAAGTACCCCCCCTAATAAATCATGGTTTAGTCTCATCCGGGGTTGACATTAGTGGCAGCACACACAAGGTGGTGGGTTATCCAATGAAAACGAGTTCGGTATATCACCAACAAAAACCATAGTGACATTGCTAGTGAAATTAGACTTATTTCAACCAACCAACAGCGATTTAGCGAACTGAAAAACCACCCTGCACTGCATTGACTGCATGCAAACAATTCATCGAAAAGACGCGGCCGCAACTGGTCCCCATCTATGACTCCGCATGGACGATGCACCCAGATGCGTCTATATTATATATATGTGTGTTTTAGGATAATAATGATAACAATAATAATAATGATGTTATATATATATATTTAAATATATGTAAATAAATATATATATATAATTATGAATATATATATATATACATACTAAGGGATAGCTGGCGCACATACCCACTTGCCACTCTTCGCAATCCAGCTGCTAGCTAGCTCTACATGATGTGTTTCAAAACCTTCTCCCCCCCAGATCTGGTTGGTGGTTTCAACCAAGCCAAAAAATTAAAGTCCATTAGGATTTGATTCATTTTGAGAGATGGATGAAACGCATTGATTGTTCAACTAAGTATGGGCATTGCGTAAATAATTACACGTAAATATATAATGCATAAAAATAAGATAGGATAACTATATATGTAATACTACGTACTGTACATATATGTGCTTATTAATATGCATTGTTTTTCTGTTCCAAGATAACCAAATTGGATATTCCCCCAGTGGTTGGCCACACCTCTTCCGCTTCCAACGGCTTTTGGAGTTCCAACCATTTCACTTTAGGCGAGGCACCGGTTCCTCCTCCGGCTTGGGGAGGAATGGCTCTCTCTCCTGCCTCAAGCTTGGCATAATGTCGGAAGCAAACTCCTCACGGCAAAAAAATCGATGTTAAAAAAAAGGGCTGCGTGGAAAGCATACGGAAAATTTGATTTCTCATTGGAAAACAACGCTGGGACGGTGGGACAAGACACTATAGTTCACTTTCAGTTCGGGTGGCACAAATGAGCAGGTATGATAAATCATACCTAGTCTTTCAGCCTCATTTAGCTATGCAATGCTTTGCAGCATTTGGATTAGTAGGAAACATGATGATGATTCCCAGCAAACGTAATGGCCGATCCCTCAGTCCGACTCAGTCCCCGTCCTCGCCACCGTCAAAAATCCATGGGAACCACGTGTTCATCCTGAAATGACGTGTTCCAAGCGTTTCCAAACATTGGAAGCTGTCTTTAACATTGGAAGATGTGTCATAACAATACTGTAACAAGCTGGGCTCTGTTTCATTGGCAGGCACTATTTTCGTAGCGGTATAAAACTTGTTGGGGTAACATGGGGTAAGTGTAACGCCCTAAATTGTCAACCGGAGTTTCTTGATCTGGGTTCACAGCTGACAGTATAGTAGCCGGAAATTGCCTTTCAGGTGTTTGTGAGCTTTTGTTCTACAACTACCTGTATGATTATATAATCCGTTAATGAATCCCACATCTGATTTTATAAGTCATTCTTTGCCGCTCTCCTGTATGTTGACCACAATCTATGTTGATCGTTCTATTTGCCCCATGGATCCAGCTTTAAAATATAAGCAGCTTCTCCCAATTCTGGCTCCTCTGGAGTCTCAGTGACAGGTGCTCAGGAAGTGCCAAAGGATCCACCCCCGCAATGACAGAGATGAGCTGCGAATACCTCACATGCGGCGATTTCGGCTGGAAAGTTCTGGGACCACGAGGGGTTGAACAGCGAAATTTCTCTGCATGGTTTTGGGTATATCTTTTGGCATCCCATGTCCTAAAACCCAAGAACCGGCCCAAGCGAAACGAAACGATTCCAACATGATTATTGTTTAGCAGAAATTCGCTACGGTATGTATATATATATACAAAATACAATATAACACAACAAATAAGTTTTAATACGTTGGTTGGTTGCACCACTTCATCCCATCTGTCAGGCTTAAGCCATTGGTTGATCAGAATGTTCCAGAAAATTGCCCCCATTGAAATTGCAATCAATTGGAGTCAATGATGGTAAGTAAACAAAAAAGCACTCAAACACGTATCAGATTCTTGCTTGTACATCACGACTAGATTCGTATCATTTATGCACATAACCCAGATGCTCCATGTATGGAATAACCAACATTTGCCCTAAAAATCATCCAAATGTAGGTAAATATACCACACATGAAGCATATGGGTAATAGCCATGTTTGCTTCGATCCAAATTTCGTTGGCTCCTTCCAGATCCCTTAAGTTCATCGCTGGGTCATCCGTTTTTCCGGTCGGAAAATCGAACAAAAAATCCCGGCGCAGAGACGCGTTACCAGCCCATGCAGGCGCAAACGCCCCAAGCCACCACAAAGAAGACTTCCAGGGGATCTGTCACCACATAAGCAGGTCGAAGGGGAAAATGAGTGAAGCTCAACCAGGTCACCTCAAACACCGCTTGCATGCAGGGTGGGGATCTCATCTCATATGTCGATGTTTCACTAACCGACAACGCTCATTTTTTAAAAAATGTGTCAGGCATAATTTGGATCAATTTGGATCAACAGAACTTCCACATCAAATCTCAAGGCAGACTTTCCCGTGGACAATTTATGTTTTTATCTGGGGCGCAGCCGGCGCAGCTGCCCAAAATTGCAATGATGTTCTGGGGTTGTTTCTGGCTGACAAAAATAATGAAAACCAAGGAAGTTGATGCCCATCAAGGACCATCCTCTGTCAATAGCCCTTCCACAGCCAGGCAGCAGATGCTTTGGTCAATGCAGCGATAATCTTAGGACAGGGCCGTGGCACCGTGGCATGGATGCTGCAGGGGGAAGCTTAATGAAACATGAGAAAACCCACGTGCTTTTCAATGTTTCTTTCTCCATGGACCCTCCCTCCCTCTCTGCTGCGCAAACATCAGCCATACCTTCGCCAAGAAATAAGATGAATTCAAACATTCACTTCGAAAAACGTAACACCAAAGTTGAACCACTAACCCTTGGTCATCCATTTTTGTTTGTCAAATTGTTCACCGTTTCCCCGTTTCGCCGTTTCGCTTTTTGGCCCGGCGACAAAGAATCGAAGCGTGGCAGACATCAGCAGTCCGCCCAAGATCGGTGTCAGCACACGATACGAGAAGATGCGGCTCTGTTCTCAGCCGTCCGAGCTGATGGACGGTTGCAGCTTTGTGGTGAGGGTTATATCATGTTGTATATTGTTAAATAATGTTATATATAATGACATAGAATGTGAAATATAATGGTGCATGATGTTATATAGCACATAAATAAACATATTTTAATATTTATATGGCCCATATATCTCCATGTGAGTGTTCAAGTGACTCAAATGTGTTTGACCCGATTCTATTTGTACATTGTTTGTACATTGTACGAGCTGCTCCCCAAATCCGTCAAACCTGGGAGATCCTGGCGCCACACGGCCCAGCCCGCTGGAATCAGCTGGTGTCTGCCAAGAGATCCAAGAGTCGTAGCAGAAGTCCTCCAAAAACTGACACCAACATCATAAAACCTGAGGTGTGTTGCTGACATTTGCTGACCCATCCCAAAAAATTGGGGACCAGGGGATGATCCTTGGCATGAAGCCCAACCATACCCAACATTTATCCCAGCGTGTTTCAAGGGCCAATGTGTTGATCAAAGGTGATACGACGTCGTTTTTTTGGTGAAGACCCTGCTTATCACAGCCGGGATATCTGCATCCTCCTGTTCTTACAACTGGATTTGTCTGAACTTGTGGTTTCACAAATGTATAGTCTCTCATCACTCTCCCTAAGAAAAGAGCCATGAGAGGATATACTCGGATATACCGTGAGATACCCCATTTTTGGACTGCAATATAGGTATTGACCCATCCAACTATGAAAACCATGCCCGTTCTGAGCGTAAATCAAGAGGAAAGGACCGAAAACTTGATGTTCGAACCCCATTCCGGTGCAAAGTCTTCAAGACCTGAAAATGATACGACTAGCTTTAACTCAGAAACGAAATCTCACATCTTTACAAGGCAATTAATATAATCCGTCGTAGGGTGGCCTCACATCTTTACAAGGGAATCAATCTCTCTCCGGATGGCTTGTTTTTCCCTTGTCCACATGCTGGCTGGCTGAAACTCCTGAATCCCATTTTCTTCGCAGGGATTCAATAGCTATATATCTGGCTGGCTCAGTCCGCCATGGTACCATCCCCCCAATACGGAACACCATTGCTTTGAATACCATAAACTTTGTCACTTCAACCACCATGTTTATAGGCAGCTTGAGCCATCCCCATGCACTATTCATACGTATCTTGTCCGGATATGATATAGCCATTATAATTATCCCATGGTATTCCTATGAAGCCACCAACTCATACACTTATGGCCCAAAATACCAGTTATAAGTAAGTATTCACTATATTAACCCAATTTATAGAATGTAGAACCCCATAGAAATCACCATTTATAACCACTAGCCATGGCCCAATCTCTATGCCCGCGCCATCTCGATATCCACCAAGGTACCGATCAACGCAGTGGGCGAATGTGTCAGGTCCAGTGAAGTACGACAGAAGAAGGTCAAGGCACCTGAAGAGGTCGGGATGGAGGTGGTGCCCCAGTGAGCTAAATCGCTAAGTTGGTGCAAATAAGTCCAGTAACTATGGTTTTTGTTGGTGATATATATATATATATATATATATATCCATTTATAGTTTTTGTTGGTTTTTGTATGTTTTTGTTGGTGATATACCGAACTAGTTTTCATGGGATTATAACATATTATAACCATTTATAATTAACCCATGTAAAGCTGGGAAGGGCACCACCTTGTATGGGGATACTCAGGAGATACCCTCTGGCGATGACGAAGAGTTTGCGAACTTGAAAATGGCCATAGAAATAGTTGATTTACCCATAATCAATGGTGTTCTTCAAGTTATTCCAGAGTTTTTTGTATGTTTGCCAGAGGGTATGGTTTAATAATGTTTAATAGTGGGGATATCTAGTGGATTCTACCTTCAGGATCCCATTGATCAACCGTCCTCAACCGTCCCATCTTGGGAATCCAACGTGTTCAAACGAAGCCATGTGGCATGCCCCTGCTGGAGAACTACTACAAATTGGTTGGTGGTTAAGCCACCCCTCTGAAAAACATGAAAGTCAGTTGGGATGATGACATTCCCAATATATGGAAAAATAAAACATGTTCCAAACCATCAATCAGTAAACTATACGCTAGTAAGTAGGGGAATCGGCAAACAACAATTAGAGAACTAACATGTTCCTTGGCAAAAAGAACAGTGATGCGTCAAAACCCACCAAGAACTTAAAGTTGAATGGTGCCACACGCGAAAAACGCTACCGTGTATACGCTACCGTGTCAAAAAAAAACACGGAATCCTGAAAACGGTGTCGCTAATAGCAATATTTTTTGACATTGGGTACAACCACTTGGGTTTCCATGTTCCATGTTCGTCTTAGAGGATGGAGTTCTATCTATGGATCCTATGGCAGCTATGGATCCAAGTAAGTGCCTTCGGATCATGGGATTATGATTCCATGAGGCGCCGAAAAGGCGTAGTGAATTTCAACGAATGGTTGACTGGTGGCCGGGTGTTTTGATTTTGGAATCATACCTGATAGTTACAATTTCTGTCACAGCAGAATGTCAAAGCCTCAAAGCACCCAGATCCCAAACCAGCCAGTGGTTGGTCGGGTCTAGCTATTTCGACCCTGCATCGCCGAATCAAATTCGAAGATATCGAGAATGTGGTCAACCCTGGCTGCCATCAACCTACCATTTTTCTAGGGATGTAAACTCAATCCAACCCATAAGAAGGGTGATTTTTGGGGGATGGTTGTCATGACAGATCTACAGAAACCACAGAAATGACCCGCCTGCCGCCTGACTCGCCTTTTACCGGGTATCCCTAGCCTGCCATGACTGCGCCACATGCGAAAACGAAGATGGGGTAGAGGCGATGGGCGAAGACCACCCCACCTAGGCGTTGCTGGACAGCTGCTGCGACTCGAGCAGCAAAAATTGCGAACAACTGCGACAAGTGGAGAAAAATATGTATATTTGGACATATGATATATCTGGGTAAATTATAATAATTCACTAACCTGAAATAAGGCCATTATTCTCCGTTGTCTCCAGGCCACTCCCCTGCCGTAGCTCAAGGAGCAGCCAGTTTTGCCAAATACACCTGTGTTAGGTGTAGGTCACTCAGGTGAAACTCTACGCAGCCTGGTGCGCCTCTGCGCTGCCTTCAAGATCTTATTGCGTTCCTCAAACGGAATGGCTCTGCGGGCCAAATCCTGTGGCCATTCTTCAACTTGCATGTCAAGTTCCAACTGTGGCAAAATCTCCATGCTGTTATGTTCAACCAAAAAACGATGCAGCACCTCAAACAACTGACCTTGTTGTGGGAATTGCGGACGCACCTTAAGTCCGGTTGACCAGGCGTTGTGCCCTTGCAAGTAAAGTGATTTAATTTTGCCAAAGGTGCATTGGGGTGGCACGATTGGCTGGACCACAAGACTCTGTAGTTGGGAAAACATAGAATACGCCGTAGTCGCCATCTCACTTAATGACAGTTGCATGTCCTGCAGGTCCGCCGGATTTCTGGCCTGCAGGATCATCAAATGCTGCCCACGTTGCCGCCTCACCGGAAGCCACGTCTGTTGCTGAAGAGAAAGACAGATGGCAAGTTCTGCCCAGGAAAGTCCTGGATCCTCCTCCATGACATCCATGGGCCAGACACAGCTTCTGACCCACTCAAGCAAAACGACCATCCACTGAAAACCCCAAATGGAGTGGCAAATTTCCTCATCATTCTGCAAATCAGGTTGTGCCCAAACATTTGTAACGCTCCAATTACAGAGCATCTCTCTCACATTCCTAGGTGGTGGCTCCGAGTGATTGTCAGCACCTGTGTCCATGGCTTGGGCACGTGCCATTTGCAGCTCAAGATTATACTGAAAATATCGCAAAACTTTGGTTCTCTGCGCAGCCTGATCTTGATGAAAAAGATCAAGCTCATTGACTATTTCCGGTAAGTGACGATTACATGCAGAATTGGCAGCAACATCTGCAAACATGTTACCAATAGCAAAATAACGCAATAAAGGATCAGAAATCTTGCAAACATCCTGATGCGCCTTGATTTTACGGATAACTTGTGTTGGCAACAAACAAGCATGTAATCTACGAAGCAAGTCATAGTCATCATGCCCCTGCAATTCATCACTCTTGACTGTTTTGCGACATCTGTCAACCAATGCAATGGCCGTAGCGCTGTCAGTAAAAACAGTGAAATGACTGAAGGTTTCACAAAGTATAATGATAGCCATGAGTTCTGCTCTATGAATCAGTTGTCTACCTCTAGTGCGTCCAACCAACAAAGTTTGTAAAGTGCCTGGACAAGTCTGCTGTGTCAGAAAAATATCCGCCATTTCCCGCCTGTGCAAATCATTGTGACACAAGTCGCCCACAATAGAAAATGCAGAATAACATGTGTCCGGAAAGGTTGGGTGTTGACAACTACCGTCAGTGAAAAAGGTCAGCTCAGTGAGCAGCTTCTCCTGCGCCTCCAGCCACAGCAGAGTGGCACGGTCGCTGCGGGCTCGTCACGGGTGCCAGGCAGGAGAGAAAATTAACGTGGCATGGCCCACGTTTGTTGCAGAAGAATTTGAAAAGAAAAATACAAAAGAAAAAGAAAAAGAACAAAAGTCAAAAAAGGAAGACAAAAAGAACCAATTCAAGAATTTGAATGTGCATTGCACGAAGAGAGCGATTTTTCAAATCGCCAAAAAAGACAAGAGCCATAAGGCCAATCCTAGGATGATGGCTGGCTGGCTGCTGATGCTTTGCTGGTCTGTGCCTTGCTGTGCTGCATTTGACACCAACAAGGACCTGGCCGCCAACCATGACGTCAATTACACCGGCCGCCCTGGATTGATTGTGGAAAATGCCACAACTCAGTCTAACGGCCCCCCAGAGATGACCCGCAACGGGAAAAAATGGCAGCTGACAATCGATGTGCCTCGCAGCGGGCGGCAGATTGCAGATGCGCTGAGCGAATATGGCTCCGTGGATGTGGAAGCTGGTTTCAGACTTTTGACGGAAGTAAGTGCAACTACTTTCGATATCCACCCCTACGGTTCTGGTTCTGACCCCTCAAAACGTAAATTCCCTGGGATCCTCAATGTGATTTTGGATTTGGTCGCTAGGTGTCACCATGGGAAGTTTGGATTTTACCCTCTGAATTTTGTTTCCTCCAAAATGTGGAATTTGGGTTTGTTTGGAATGGTGGAAAATTGGGTTTCGCCCCTGGGAATCTTTTCCCCTCGAAATGTGGAATTTTGAGATGGGATGGTTTGATGAAAAAAATCATTGGTCACCCTTTCTTATCTGGTTTTGTTTGGGCACCATGGGAGAAATTTGCGGCTGGTTGCTTAGGTACGGTGTCACTAAGCAATTTGTGCTTGCATGTCTCAAACGGGCTCAAGACAAACGCAAACGAAAACGAATCATCAAACGCTTGAAAAACAAACGCTCAGTGAAAAAATGCAGTGATCTCAAACGCTGTCAGAAGTTGTTGAAACCACATGTTGCATGTGCTGCTAGAAAATGCAGCACGCACAGACTCGGAAAAGCACGCCTGAAACACAGACGATGTGCTTTGAAGCTTCGGATGAGATGGACATATGTTCGAACCAATGGCATGGATGTTTCCCTGTCATACTCTTTCCTCTATTCGGGTTTTCCGAGACCCGAAGAATGGCCACTTGGATATGATGCACTGAGCTGGTACAAGCCTGATGCGAACAATTGCATTTTTGCCTCTGAGTGGTTGCAAGGTGGATATAAACGAAGGACGCAAAGGAAAAAGAATTACAGTGACAATGACAACGCCGCGGTTAGGAGTTTGATCCAAGGTTTGAAGGTATGTCTTAACCAAGGTTCTTTTCCGAAAGAGTTTGAATCCGTGATGTCCTTGTTAGGTCAAGTGGTCGGTCAAAATTCACCCAAAAAGATGTTTAAGAAAAAGAAAACGGTGAAACAGGAGCCCAAACCTGACCCGTCTAGACAAGAGCAGCTGCGGGACAACAAAGATGAAGACTACACCATTCTTGAGACAGGATGGTGGAAAATGAATGGTGCGTGGAAACAGTATTGCAGAGACCCACAAACAGGATGGTGGTGGTGGGACAAGCGTGGTGACAAAGTTACCACAGTGGACCACAACCCCAGACATAATGAAAAGAAACAAGACACTGAGGTTCACAAACCTCAACAGAATACTCCAAACCTTGCCAAGGTGCGAGCTCTCAACCCAGTTGAATGGAACAAGCCAATCAAACTTGTGGATGCGCAAACAGTTTGCCAGGCCATTAAGGAAGGAAAAGACTGGGATGGAAATATTTGCTGCAGTCATGACAGACAGGTCACCCAAGAACTTCGTGACTTGTACACAAGCTTTGGTTTCACGAAAGGACTCACTTTGGTTTTGTCAGCTGATGCAATGAATCAGCTTGGCATCACACTGAGCAGGACCAGGCTTCAAAGGACAAACCAACATGCCAAGGTCGAAGACATTGCCTTGCTCGGTTTAGGCTCTGACTACCCTTGGAGAACTCACCCTGTTAAAGTTGATCCCAACAATGTTACTACGGTTGAAAGGGAATTGGTCAGAATTGTCGTTCCCTCTCACTATAGAGAACTCTTTGTATCTGAACCCCAAAAGGAACGTGTCGTTGATGTCATTTCCGACTTGGCCACTTTTGGATGTCGTGCACATGTCCTCACAGGTGGCAGGTGGGAAAGACAGGAATGGCAGAAACAAAGTTCAAGTTTGGTAGGATGGCTTAAGCTCACCAAAAAAGATGCGGAAACCCTCCTGGAAAAATCAGGGAAAAAAGGTATTTTTATCAATAAGAATATTGATACCTCTAAGGAACGTCCGCATTTTGTGTGGACCAAACACGAAAAAGATGAAACCGATGAAGCATACTACCAGAGATGCCTTCGTCTTTCAGGCGAGAGAGGCCAGCCGATGTGCTTACGGAAAGGGTTGGGAAATGACATTGGTTTCACAAAGAAATCAGATGAAGACATCGAAAAGAAACCCAAACGAATTCAGATTTCTGGAGTTCCCAGGGACTGGATGGCGGAAGAACTGGTTGATTTCCTCAAACAACAAGGATGGACCCAAATGACTATTCACAATAGAAGAAGGGTCAACAAGAAAATTTTTTGGAACGCCTGTGGAATGCCTCCTGTTGCATACCCATACGACCAGGGTCTTTGGGTGTATGAAGGTGCCACTGTGTTTACCATAATAGTCAACGACTCGGTCCATAAACCTGCAGCGCCAAACAGCACCACTGCAGTCAGAGGACCAAGGAAGACATGGGATGAAATTAAGGATCAGCCTCCACAGACGGCCAACACGCGGGGGCGCCCCGCGAAGAGGCAGGCCAAAGAACCCGATGAGCGACATCGGTCCAGATCTGCCGCTGAGAAGCCCGAAAAGGGCGATGAAAATAAGGACCCAATGGAAGTCGAAAAAACGCAGTTGGACTCTCAGACTCAGCCTGAAGCGATTGACAAGCAGAGTTCAAAGCCAACCTCGCAGTCTCTTGGTAATTTGACGGATGCCTTAACCCAAAACTGGACGCTGGCCGATCAAGGTGGATGCGGTGACTGTGGGTACCGGGCATTAATAGACAACTTTCATTATCAAACCACTGGTGAGACTCTTTCCAAAGAAGAATGCATCAAAAATGCCAATCTATTTCGTACGGAAGTGGTACGACATGTTCGCAAACATCAAGATAGGTACGAAAACCATGTCAGAGGTGGGAAAGAGGCCTTTCCTGCCTTTTGTGACAATGCGTTGAAGCAAACTCACTGGATATGTGGACTGCTGCTGCAAGCAGCAGCAGAGGTGAAATCATGCTGCATAGTGGTGTGGAATCAAAAAGATGAAGTTCTGGAAAGATTCACTTTCGCTCCTGAGTGGAGTCCACAGGGGATGCCCAGAATGAAAAAAGAAGCACCAATCCTGGTGGTGTACAGAAACGACAAACATTATCAATCCGTCCGACCACCCCAGGATCAGGACGGCATGACTAAGGTGCCCAAACACTGGGCGCGAGAGACAGCCAAACCCGAGGCCGAAGCACTTGGAGGCGCTGGACCAAGCGTTGGAGAATCGCCTAAAACCCTGCACACGCTCTCCCCTGGCTCTTCCCATGCTCCTTCGCTCCATACTCTCCCCGCCTCCTCCTTTCGCGGATCCTCGGGTGGGGGTGTGATGATCACGCGCGCGCCGTCCCTGCACTCCTTGGTTCCTTCCGCGTCTTCTCCTCCGCGTCTGCGCGCGGTTGTGCACGGCCATGCGGCGGGTGGTGGTTCTTCGGGTGCCCTTGCGCGACCCCATCCTCCGCGCTCCCCCTCTCTTCTTACCTTGGCTGCCTCCCCTCACTCCTGCGAACCTCCGCGTGCTGCCATCAAATCCCAGCAGTTGCAGCATCCGAGTGAAACGGTTGCAAGACCATTCAAAAGATGCAGGTTCAAGCAAAGCAGTTGTGACTCAAGGATTGAAGACATGAAGTTTCTTGCACCCTCTGAGAACGATAAAGCTTCGGTTTTATCTTTAACCTCAGAAACTCACCTCAATTTGACAGACAACCTGACCAAGGACCGGTCGGGTACTAAGGACAAAGGCGCAGTCAAAAATGACAACACAGAATGCGACTTTCGCCCTGACACTGCTCCATATCCTCGACACCTCAAGCGGCTGGATGCTAAGACGCTTGCCAAACCGCAAGGACCTCAGGTATGGGTTTGTCCGCTGCCTGACTGCCGGCATGAAATCAGAATTCCTGCAGGTTTGCAAGCGAGAGCCAAGCTTCAAGCTGCAAAAAGTTCACACCTGAAAAATAGACATACAGATTCCGAAAGAGCTGAATGCCCGCGACTCGGTGCTCAAACTCAGATCACAGTCCCGACCTCGGAACTTCCTGAAAGTGGCAGAGCCTGGAGTTGCCCAGAATGCGGGAAAGGACTCCCACTGTTGCCAAAAGTTTGGCACGAAGCTAGTGTGGCACGAAGCTAGTGTCCGCAAACATTTTGCCGAGGCACACCCTGACACAAATCCAACTCAGGCGTACAGGAAGAAACAAAGAACTGACAAAGGCCTTCGAGCTCGTATGAAACTGCGAGGCAGACATATAGGTCAGCTCAAACAACAGAAGGTCGCTGACAACCTGAAAGTTTGGGCTCCGCAAACGGGGCATGATGTTCGCCAAATTCTTCTCAAACATAACCCCAAAGAAGAGAGACGCAAACTTGATTTGACGTCCGTGCTTGTTTGTGCCAAATGCAGACGAAAAGGGACACCATGTAGATTCAAAACCACCGCATGCACTGATGAAACTCAACCTATCCCGACTCAATTGCTGGGTTGGATCCGAAACATGGCTTTGCGACACCCTGCGAACCAAGGTGCCATCAGAAACGGACTTGGTATGACTGAAGCCGAGGTTGCAAATGCAAACTTCCAAACCAAAAAAAGAGTCAACGGTAAAGGGCCAGCCAAGTGGCTTAGCGGTCCGTTTGCCACCACTTTTCAGGCGGCGCAAGCTGCAGGGCACTTAGTTACTGAGGTCCTTCCGCCGGATGCCATGCGCCACCCGGACTCCACTGCTAAAAAGTTTCCCAAGGGATACCTGACCTGTAAAATTTGCCACAAGGTTAATCCACTTGGTGCTGTCAAAATCTGGACGAATCCATGCCTGGGACATGATCCCACCTCCAAAGGTTTCCAGTCTCAGAAAAGATATTGGCAGTCTTTAACTAAAACCCCAAAAAAAGCCCTCAGTCAAGCATGGGGGAAGACTCTGCAGCAGGGGGAGGAGCTTTTTGCCTCCCAATCCTCCAACAAGCGCAGCCGTAGAGCCAAAGAACATGACCATAATGATAAGGTTGCTGTGAGAATTGGTGAAGCGTCCCATCCAGGACCAAGATCACGAAAATTGCGCAACTTGGATCAACATGTGTCAGTTTGGACATGCAACACTCAAGGACCCAAACAATCGTGGACCTTACAACAGCTGCTCCAAACCCAGGAGCAGGCACCTCAGATTGTGCTGCTTCAGGAATGCTCTTTTAGCCAGGCTGAATGGACCACATTTCAAAAAACTTGTTGGTCTGTGGGGTACAGAAGTTTTTTCTCCGGTGCGCAAAGCACCGTCAATCGACACTACGGAGGAGCTGCAGTCTTGGTTAAATCTTCACTACCTTGTAGACCGGCCTGGTCACACACTCACAAAGGAGGTAGTGCCCAAGCTGTGTGGGTGGGATCAACTCTGGTCATCTCCACTTACCTGGCTCCTAACAGTGATGCAGAAACCGTGAGTGCAGCTGTGGCTCAAACTGTCCACTCTCTCGCTCCAAGACATCGTTTTATTTTGGGGGGGGATTACAATGCCACACCCGAAGAGAATCCCTTTCTTCATTTCTTGATTCCTAGGGAATTTCGTATTCATGCCACTCAAACCCCAACGCGGTGGCAAGGAAACCGCGATATTGACTACTATATCAGTAACCTTGAGCCCACTGAGGTCGAAACGCTTCCTGATGTTGTAGCCGACCACAAAATTGTCAAAACTTTTTTCGATTTATCTACCGAACCTGTTTTAGGTTTCCAACAAGCCAACATTCCTAGAATCCTCCCGAAGGACCCGGAAGTTGCTGAACGAATCCAAATCAAATTGGCTCAGCTCTGGCCGCAGTTTTCCACACAACTTCCAGAGCGATGGTCAGTCAATGTTGACCAGGACTGGCAGATGCTTTCGCAAACTTTTTTCAAGCCCTAGTTTGTGCAGTCAGGGCTGCTGCCCCTGACATGCTGCAGCGAGTGTCTCCGGCCTTACTGAGGAAAGGAAAGGCCACTGAGGTCTCTCTTAAACAGAAAGAACACATGAAACGACATCCTGCTGGAGCTATGGCTACTCACCGCCAAAGAGTTCTGCGCAGATTGATTGGAAGGTTGCGGGAAGCCCAGCGAAACTTGGATCAAGACAGGCAAAATATCACTGAAAGCCGAGTTCTCTGGAATAAAATCAGACGGTGTTCTATGTACAACCATGATTGGGGTATACAAAGAAACCTTCGGCATCTTGAAACGCTTTTGGAACGGTTCAATCATGAAGATGACTACACCAGACTTCAACGATGGAGAAACAACATGGAACATGACAAGGCTGCATACAGGTGGCTGCGACATAGATCTGTTCCCATGTGCAATGCGGTTAAGAAAACCAAAGACTCTGTTCCTAGTCACTCCACCCAAGACAGCCTGAGGATTCTCAGGGAATTTTGGGCCGATATTTGGAATAGACGTCAAATCTCTTGGGATGATATTTGGGATGATTTGGTTACTCACACTCCACCACGCCCTGCTCCTGACAGCTGGCCAAGCCTCACACCGGAACAACTCCGTTCTGCCACCAAGTGTAGCCGCGGCAGTGCGCCGGGGCTTGACGGCTGGAGAGCTGAGGAACTTAGTTTGTTCAGTGACGAAATGTGGCAGGTCATGTCCGGGTTCTATGATCATTGTGAAGAGCTCGGAAACATTCCTACCATATGGCGATGTGTTCGCCAAGTGCATATCCCGAAAGGGAAACCACCTGAAGCTGACGGCAGCATGCTGGCGGACAACATGCGTCCCATAGCTGTGATGTCGATAATCTGGCGAATCTGCAGCCGAGCCAGATTCAAACAAACTGAGGTTCAGGAATGGATCCACACATCCACCCCCGAATTCATGTTTGGGGGAATTCCCCAAAAAGGTGTTGAGGATGCTATCTCTCACATAATCCTCAAAGACATGCATAGCTGGCCGGTTGGTACACTTGACCTGACAAAAGCTTTCGATTATTCTGACCCTGAGATAATCTGCAAACTCTTTGTCCACCAAGGTATGCCGCGCAAAGCTGCACGCATGTTGTTAAGCATGTGGAGCGAACAAATCCGTTTTCTTCAGCTCCATGACGAATTTTTCCCAAACAACCATGTTGTCAAGCGCTCCCTGCCGCAAGGTGACTGCTTTAGCATGTTAGGCATGTGTGTTTTGCTTACTCCCATTGCCAATCACATTCAGAGAAAATACCCTTGTTGCGTTCAAGCTTTATATGCCGATGATCGTTCTTTCACTTGTTCCACTGCGACTGAAATATGGCAAGTTCGAAATGAATGGCATGTTTGGAGCAATAAGGTTGGTCTTCAAGAAAACCCCACCAAAGAGCAATATTACCACCGCAACGTTCAAGGTTGCCGATCTCTCGAGGATGCCGGCTGTCCTCCAGAAACAGTTTCCACTTCCATCACCTTGTTGGGATTCCAGTTCATGGGAGTGACCCAAAGAAAAGCCAAAGACCGAGAACTGACAAGACTCACTGAGGCCAAAGAAGTTCTTCGAAAATGTAGGTGCCTCCCAGGTTCCAAAACACGTAAAGCTGCAGTTGCCAGGGTTTGTGCCCCAGCAAAAGCAAGTTGGGGATGGCTGTTTCGAAGACCCACTCATGCTGAAAGCAACGCTTTCTTTCAGGGAGCAAAAGCGCTGCATCAGTGGCCAAAGCAGTCAGCCGTACCTTTACTCCAAATTTTTACTGGCCATTGGTGGGACTTAGGTTTTGCTGCCACGGTTACGACTCTCCGAGTCCTCACCCGCTATGTTCACAAAACACAGATGCAGTTGCAAAACTGGCCACCCAAAATGAGTGGCTGGACGGGTAGCTTTAGAAAAGGCATGCAAGAACTTGGGTTCGCTGAGGCTGGTAGTTGGACCTGGACGCACCCGATGCTTGAAACTATTCAGATTCAACCAACCACGCTGCCTGAAAAGGCGACCGAAGTGCTGTCACATAGGCTCAGAGATGCTTGGCGAATCAGAAAATATGAGGAATTCTTGGAACTTGACCGACGCGACTCAACGGTTTGTGCAGACATTCCATGTGACCTGACCCGCATTAATATTCTGCGCAAGAAAAAACTCAACAGTCACGAACTGGCTGTTGTAACTGGTGCTTTCATTTCACCTCAATGTCGAAATGCCATGGGAGGTGCTGAAGAAACATGCCCTTATTGCCAACATGTTTGTGCCACTGTGCAGCACATGCTTTGGGAATGTACTCAGAACCCACACCGTGATCCTACTATTAGACCCCACGATGTGCTGCAGGAAAGACTCGCATGGCCCACTACTGATCCTACTAAGGTGGACCATGACAACAAACTTCTAAGGTTTGCAGCTGCAACACGTGCTGATGTGTTGCAGCAGCGCCACGACGACTAGAACCACCTCCATTCTATTCTGGCGATCGCCTCTGGCCTGCGCTGCGGCTGCGGGCAAGTGCGGGCAGCGTCATTGTCTACATCATCACCAGATTTCAGGTTAGCAGCTTCTCCTGCGCCTCCAGCCACAGCAGAGTGGCACGGTCGCTGCGGGCTCGTCACGGGTGCCAGGCAGGAGAGAAAATTAACGTGGCATGGCCCACGTTTGTTGCAGAAGAATTTGAAAAGAAAAATACAAAAGAAAAAGAAAAAGAACAAAAGTCAAAAAAGGAAGACAAAAAGAACCAATTCAAGAATTTGAATGTGCATTGCACGAAGAGAGCGATTTTTCAAATCGCCAAAAAAGACAAGAGCCATAAGGCCAATCCTAGGATGATGGCTGGCTGGCTGCTGATGCTTTGCTGGTCTGTGCCTTGCTGTGCTGCATTTGACACCAACAAGGACCTGGCCGCCAACCATGACGTCAATTACACCGGCCGCCCTGGATTGATTGTGGAAAATGCCACAACTCAGTCTAACGGCCCCCCAGAGATGACCCGCAACGGGAAAAAATGGCAGCTGACAATCGATGTGCCTCGCAGCGGGCGGCAGATTGCAGATGCGCTGAGCGAATATGGCTCCGTGGATGTGGAAGCTGGTTTCAGACTTTTGACGGAAGTAAGTGCAACTACTTTCGATATCCACCCCTACGGTTCTGGTTCTGACCCCTCAAAACGTAAATTCCCTGGGATCCTCAATGTGATTTTGGATTTGGTCGCTAGGTGTCACCATGGGAAGTTTGGATTTTACCCTCTGAATTTTGTTTCCTCCAAAATGTGGAATTTGGGTTTGGAATGGTGGAAAATTGGGTTTCGCCCCTGGGAATCTTTTCCCCTCGAAATGTGGAATTTTGAGATGGGATGGTTTGATGAAAAAATTCATTGGTCACCCTTTCTTATCTGGTTTTGTTTGGGCACCATGGGAGAAATTTGCGGCTGGTTGCTTAGGTACGGTGTCACTAAGCAATTTGTGCTTGCATGTCTCAAACGGGCTCAAGACAAACGCAAACGAAAACGAATCATCAAACGCTTGAAAAACAAACGCTCAGTGAAAAAATGCAGTGATCTCAAACGCTGTCAGAAGTTGTTGAAACCACATGTTGCATGTGCTGCTAGAAAATGCAGCACGCACAGACTCGGAAAAGCACGCCTGAAACACAGACGATGTGCTTTGAAGCTTCGGATGAGATGGACATATGTTCGAACCAATGGCATGGATGTTTCCCTGTCATACTCTTTCCTCTATTCGGGTTTTCCGAGACCCGAAGAATGGCCACTTGGATATGATGCACTGAGCTGGTACAAGCCTGATGCGAACAATTGCATTTTTGCCTCTGAGTGGTTGCAAGGTGGATATAAACGAAGGACGCAAAGGAAAAAGAATTACAGTGACAATGACAACGCCGCGGTTAGGAGTTTGATCCAAGGTTTGAAGGTATGTCTTAACCAAGGTTCTTTTCCGAAAGAGTTTGAATCCGTGATGTCCTTGTTAGGTCAAGTGGTCGGTCAAAATTCACCCAAAAAGATGTTGAAGAAAAAGAAAACGGTGAAACAGGAGCCCAAACCTGACCCGTCTAGACAAGAGCAGCTGCGGGACAACAAAGATGAAGACTACACCATTCTTGAGACAGGATGGTGGAAAATGAATGGTGCGTGGAAACAGTATTGCAGAGACCCACAAACAGGATGGTGGTGGTGGGACAAGCGTGGTGACAAAGTTACCACAGTGGACCACAACCCCAGACATAATGAAAAGAAACAAGACACTGAGGTTCACAAACCTCAACAGAATACTCCAAACCTTGCCAAGGTGCGAGCTCTCAACCCAGTTGAATGGAACAAGCCAATCAAACTTGTGGATGCGCAAACAGTTTGCCAGGCCATTAAGGAAGGAAAAGACTGGGATGGAAATATTTGCTGCAGTCATGACAGACAGGTCACCCAAGAACTTCGTGACTTGTACACAAGCTTTGGTTTCACGAAAGGACTCACTTTGGTTTTGTCAGCTGATGCAATGAATCAGCTTGGCATCACACTGAGCAGGACCAGGCTTCAAAGGACAAACCAACATGCCAAGGTCGAAGACATTGCCTTGCTCGGTTTAGGCTCTGACTACCCTTGGAGAACTCACCCTGTTAAAGTTGATCCCAACAATGTTACTACGGTTGAAAGGGAATTGGTCAGAATTGTCGTTCCCTCTCACTATAGAGAACTCTTTGTATCTGAACCCCAAAAGGAACGTGTCGTTGATGTCATTTCCGACTTGGCCACTTTTGGATGTCGTGCACATGTCCTCACAGGTGGCAGGTGGGAAAGACAGGAATGGCAGAAACAAAGTTCAAGTTTGGTAGGATGGCTTAAGCTCACCAAAAAAGATGCGGAAACCCTCCTGGAAAAATCAGGGAAAAAAGGTATTTTTATCAATAAGAATATTGATACCTCTAAGGAACGTCCGCATTTTGTGTGGACCAAACACGAAAAAGATGAAACCGATGAAGCATACTACCAGAGATGCCTTCGTCTTTCAGGCGAGAGAGGCCAGCCGATGTGCTTACGGAAAGGGTTGGGAAATGACATTGGTTTCACAAAGAAATCAGATGAAGACATCGAAAAGAAACCCAAACGAATTCAGATTTCTGGAGTTCCCAGGGACTGGATGGCGGAAGAACTGGTTGATTTCCTCAAACAACAAGGATGGACCCAAATGACTATTCACAATAGAAGAAGGGTCAACAAGAAAATTTTTTTGGAACGCCTGTGGAATGCCTCCTGTTGCATACCCATACGACCAGGGTCTTTGGGTGTATGAAGGTGCCACTGTGTTTACCATAATAGTCAACGACTCGGTCCATAAACCTGCAGCGCCAAACAGCACCACTGCAGTCAGAGGACCAAGGAAGACATGGGATGAAATTAAGGATCAGCCTCCACAGACGGCCAGCACGCGGGGGCGCCCCGCGAAGAGGCAGGCCAAAGAACCCGATGAGCGACATCGGTCCAGATCTGCCGCTGAGAAGCCCGAAAAGGGCGATGAAAATAAGGACCCAATGGAAGTCGAAAAAACGCAGTTGGACTCTCAGACTCAGCCTGAAGCGATTGACAAGCAGAGTTCAAAGCCAACCTCGCAGTCTCTTGGTAATTTGACGGATGCCTTAACCCAAAACTGGACGCTGGCCGATCAAGGTGGATGCGGTGACTGTGGGTACCGGGCATTAATAGACAACTTTCATTATCAAACCACTGGTGAGACTCTTTCCAAAGAAGAATGCATCAAAAATGTTAATCTATTTCGTACGGAAGTGGTACGACATGTTCGCAAACATCAAGATAGGTACGAAAACCATGTCAGAGGTGGGAAAGAGGCCTTTCCTGCCTTTTGTGACAATGCGTTGAAGCAAACTCACTGGATATGTGGACTGCTGCTGCAAGCAGCAGCAGAGGTGAAATCATGCTGCATAGTGGTGTGGAATCAAAAAGATGAAGTTCTGGAAAGATTCACTTTCGCTCCTGAGTGGAGTCCACAGGGGATGCCCAGAATGAAAAAAGAAGCACCAATCCTGGGGGTGTACAGAAACGACAAACATTATCAATCCGTCCGACCACCCCAGGATCAGGACGGCATGACTAAGGTGCCCAAACACTGGGCGCGAGAGACAGCCAAACCCGAGGCCGAAGCACTTGGAGGCGCTGGACCAAGCGTTGGAGAATCGCCTAAAACCCTGCACACGCTCTTCCCTGGCTCTTCCCATGCTCCTTCGCTCCATACTCTCCCCGCCTCCTCCTTTCGCGGATCCTCGGTGGGGGTGTGATGATCACGCGCGCGCCGTCCCTGCACTCCTTGGTTCCTTCCGCGTCTTCTCCTCCGCGTCTGCGCGCGGTTGTGCACGGCCATGCGGCGGGTGGTGGTTCTTCGGGGGCCCTTGCGCGACCCCCTCCTCCGCGCTCCCCCTCTCTTCTTACCTTGGCTGCCTCCCCTCACTCCTGCGAACCTCCGCGTGCTGCCATCAAATCCCAGCAGTTGCAGCATCCGAGTGAAACGGTTGCAAGACCATTCAAAAGATGCAGGTTCAAGCAAAGCAGTTGTGACTCAAGGATTGAAGACATGAAGTTTCTTGCACCCTCTGAGAACGATAAAGCTTCGGTTTTATCTTTAACCTCAGAAACTCACCTCAATTTGACAGACAACCTGACCAAGGACCGGTCGGGTACTAAGGACAAAGGCGCAGTCAAAAATGACAACACAGAATGCGACTTTCGCCCTGACACTGCTCCATATCCTCGACGCCTCAAGCGGCTGGATGCTAAGACGCTTGCCAAACCGCAAGGACCTCAGGTATGGGTTTGTCCGCTGCCTGACTGCCGGCATGAAATCAGAATTCCTGCAGGTTTGCAAGCGAGAGCCAAGCTTCAAGCTGCAAAAAGTTCACACCTGAAAAATAGACATACAGATTCCGAAAGAGCTGAATGCCCGCGACTCGGTGCTCAAACTCAGATCACAGTCCCGACCTCGGAACTTCCTGAAAGTGGCAGAGCCTGGAGTTGCCCAGAATGCGGGAAAGGACTCCCACTGTTGCCAAAAGTTTGGCACGAAGCTAGTGT